ATGAAGCAGCCAAGCGACATCCCAGTGGTCTCCTAAGAAGCCTGAGCTTGAACATTAGGCCTGGGCTTTGCTCCAGAGACGGCACTGTGCCATACAGCTGGTCTGGCACACGCTGACAAACACACACCTCTTTGCAATGTATTTTGTACCACTCATTAACGGTGCTTTCACGCTCACTCACTGACGCACACACACCTGACCTGTATTTGTAACCGGAGCAATTCTGAGCCTGCCCGCAAGTAGGGGCAAATAGAGCTTAACAACAGACTGCCCCTGGGAGCACATTTCTCCTTTTGTTAAGTAAGTTTATCCATTATCCCGCCTCCTATCTGTCCCTCTTTTTCCCTCCTCTCTTCCCTCCTTTTTTCCTATAGTACAGGTTGTCAGGTGAATGTGGGGGCTCCTCTCTGTTTTCTCTCCCCCTCTGTCAAGAGAAAGTAAAGGGAGAGAGGGACAGGGTCAGTCAGACAGAATTTGAGAGAGGCAGTGAAAACAGAGAGAACCAGAGAGATGGAGAGGTGGAAAAGAAAGCTAGCTGGATCAAATAGCCTGTGGTATTAGCTAGCTGACCTGTGAGGTCAGGTCATAGTTTGGGCCTGAGGCGATCTGAGTTTCTGTCTTCTAAAGGGATGAAGAATGAGGGGTGAACAACATGTCTGAGGAATGATGATTTCAGAATGCATCAACTAAGGTTTCTTCATCGACATAAACAAAATCCCTTTTCCTGTAGAACACTGCATGTCTTGAAAGAGGTGTGCAGCTCTCATCCAGTGCCCTTAATGCCTGATTTGAAGTTGTAAAGACACTCCTTTGACTGACAGGCCACAGGTTCAATACCTGCCAACAGCTGAAATGTGTCTCAGTAAAATACAATGACTAATAATATACTATTAATCAGAGTTATTAAAGCTATCCTCTGGAAACCGCAACATCATATTACTGGACACACCAATGTAAAACTAATTGAGAAAAAAAAAAAACCTGAAACACAACTTTTAAAACAATTTAAAAAAGTTTCTGTAGATGCAACTTCTTGGTATGAACTTTGTGGTTCAAAAGACTTTTGAACCCTCAGAAGCTCGCTCACTTTGTGCTTTGAGGCGTGTCACCAAGTCAGCCCATCAGCCATGCAGTTCAGTCTAGACTTATGGACCCACATACCCACACCCACACACACGGGTCTAGGCTGCATTAAACAGAAAGGCCTGTGCAAAATGTCAGAAAGCTAATGACCCAGATCCTCCACTCACCCACTAACTCAACCTGACGGATTGACAAAGCTAAAACTCTGAAACATACATTTTTCTGAGTAGGAGGGAAAGTAAAATCTGACATCACCATAAAATTATGGCTACGGCATGCTGAGAGGTACATTCGAAGAATATTGAATGGTGTTTTTTAGTAAAATGTAATGTCATGCATCTACTAGAGAGCACACAGTAGAGACAGACATGAAATGAGGGGAGAGAGACATGGGGAAGAACATGCAACACTTGTAACTAGCCAGACGCAAACCAGGAAGATTACGGTTCATGGTGTTAGGTTTATCTACGTCTTTTCTTTAGCTCGTTTAATTTTTTTACGTCTAAAACCTGAGCACTGTGGCTCTGAGCCTTCTACCCTCTAAGCTTTTGCTGCTTGTGTTCCCAAACAACCCAAAGCTTGCTCTGTGGCACAAATAATGGAACTTGTAAAAAACAGACAAACATAAAACAGATTATTGGATGCACTGGTAGTGAACCAGCCTTTCTTAAAAAACAGCTATACAAGTTCAAATGACTGTGAAGGTGAGATTTACTAGAAAGCAAAGACACATTCCCATGTCAGACCCTGTGAGCCTGTGAGAGGGTATGGTGTGCATGCACAGGTGTGTTTCTACCCTATAGCTCCCATGACAGATTCCAACCATATTCCCACATCTATCAGTGAGAAGGGTCTTTAGTGGTGGGAAGTGGGAATGTCATGCCAGTTTGGGAAGGTTTGGGATCACTTTGCCTTATAGGATTTGCAAGGCCAGGCAGGTCTGGGCATTCCTGACAGTGTGTTGAATGGCTAGAGGGCTGAGTGTGTGTGTTCTCTCCCCCCCTCTAGGCTGGAGTCTCAGAAAACCTGACTCTACTGCAGAGGAAGTGAAAATAGCGTCCCCTGCAAAATACAAAGTGTCTCTCTCCACGTAGTTTAACTGTTCCTGCATGTACTGGTATGCTGGGTGAAATGTACATGTGTGACTGTGGATGCATGTCTACTTAAATGTACAATACAGTGTGTACTGGGGTACACGTGTATGTTTAAACTAGTAGTAGTGGAGGGGAAAAGTCATTTAAGGAGTGTGTGTTTGTTTTCTCAGGGTGATACCAGAGTCTTGGTCAATCAAACTTAACACACACAGATAGACCAACCACTCAAAATCTTGCGTCATTCATCTGTGGGCCTTTACAACATGAGTCCCCTATCAGTAGCCAGGAAGCCCATATGAAAAAGGGGAAACAATGGGGATTGTGTGCACTTGTAAGAGTTTAAATAAATGCAGAACACTCTTACAGGGTTAATGTTTGAATGTCTGAGGCTCCAGCAACACCCATCAATTAGATTCTGTATATAAAAGCCAAGAATATCTGGCAGCAGGAAGTAGACAGCAGGATAAGATTTCTTAGGGCCAGAGGGCAAAGCACTGCCAATTCAATCCTGTCACTACATAGCTAAAGTCAGAAATATGGCTAATGTACACATCACAAGGGGCTTCCTGATAAAAGTCTTGTACATGCATGTGAGTCTGACTTCATTGTTTAGATTAATGTTTTTGCAGCTGAAGAATATTTAAGAAAGTGACAAGCACTTTCAGGGTTTTTAAGGATTTGTTGATGTAAATGAAAGAATGGTGTTGTGTGTTCAACTTAAGATTTTGAGGTAACTTTGTGGTGACAGGAACTATGATTATCTGTGTGTGTCATACAGAGTAGGAGAGATCTGAAATGGCAGCAAGCCTAGCGTGCCGCTTTCTGAAAGCAGACTTTGCTTAACAAGCAGAGTTTTGCTGAATAAGCCGGAGACGACACAACCCTCATTGTACTAGCTGTTAATAGGAGCCTTCAGCAGGCAGACAGGTAAAAATTAGCAGATGTGTGGGGTCCGCCCCCAAGAAAAGTCTTTCAAAACATATTAACAGTGTAGATATAATACATGTGCACAGTTTCATTACACTACACACAGCACATACTTAAAAGGTTTTTAACCAATGTACACAAGACTAATTGCTGTAAACTGAATGATTCTGAATCGCTTACTGCATACAAATTCTCACATAAGGAACAGCACTAGAGCACACACGTTTCCCCACAGATCATGGTGGGAGGAAAGGAGGAGATTGGTAACCTGCTTTAATAGCCTCTCCACAGAGGGTTTCTGGATCGAATCCTGTACCAGCAGGGGAAAAATTAGGCATGAATTCTCCAGTATAACACTTCTAAGAACTGCTGTCAGGGGAGTTCTAACCAGCAGTCTGTGTGCCTCAATCAACTCCCTGTAGATAAAGCAAGATTTAGATATCCACGGAAACACCGCACAATACGTACAGGTCCGGTCATGTCACTGGTGGCACAGTCCAAGAGATAAATAATAGTCAACAACTAGAGGGGTAGATTGTGGCGCGTTTGTGCCAAAAACAAAGAAATCTTGTCCATTCGTCTCTAGTTGCCATTAACACCATTAACAGCAGGCTCAAATAGAGACCAGAGAAATAGTGGTGAAGAACCAACAAACAAACAATTCCACTATTCTATTCAGTGCCTGAATTAGGTTTATTGCCAAGTAAGTTTTTACACCTACGAGGAATTTGTCTTGGTGCATAAAATATACAAATCACACAAAGATCACACAAATATAAAGTACTTTTAAAAAATAAATAAATAAAGAGGTGGGTATAAGAGTCAGTGTCAATGTATACCCACCCTTTATATATGCATTACATTAATGCACTCCCGTTTTCTGTACAGTTTATCTTTCTTATCTTTATTTATTTATATTTTAAAAGTACTTAATTTTTGTGTGATTTTTGTGTGCTTTGTATACATGACTTTAGATGCAACCGATATAGGTGCCCACTAGTCTCTTTTTAGCATTTTTCAATTTTAAGTGACTAAAGACTTTTTTTTTACCAAGTTACCAAGATGATGTGATTATAAAGTGTGCATTGTCGCTGAATAAGTAACAGCCATATCCTGATGTGTGCGTGTGTATGTGATGGTCAGAGAGAGAGAGAGAGAGAGAGAGAGAGAGAGAGAGAGAGAGAGAGAGAGAGAGAGAGAGAGAGAGAGCGCAAGCCTAGGGTGGTCTTTTAGGCATTTTGGCAAAGTGGTGCTGTGTTCAAAGAGCAACGCATATTTGTGTAGATGAGGGAGGTCACCAGGAACAGGTATGTGTAGTGTTTAGTCTCATGGGGCAAGCCATACTAGCACAGTATACACATATGGGGACGAGCATGGTGGGTTTAGGCTTAAATGCAGGTGGGAACCATAAAACAAAGTTAATTTCAAATATTTACATCAATCCACCACCTTGTGAGACCAGTGCATACCAGTGCACACAACCCTGTTTACAATGTGGAAGCATTACTGTGGATTATATGAAGACTTACTGAGGTGTCTGAGAAAAGAGCAACAGTGAATCTGCCCTAAAAATTAAGATTAAAAAGCAAACTACCAACATCTGTCAGTTATTTTATCAGTTTGATGGTTTAACTGAATTAATACTGCTATATCAGAATACAATTTCCTTAAGCACTACTGCCACCTACTGACAACCTTAAGACTTGCTGTAAAAGAATAAATAAATACAGGATACCACAAGCTGAAGTATGTAAGCCACTAAAGTCACACAACAACCGAAAACGGACAAGCTGACAGTGACAAACTGCCTCTTTTCACATTTTCACTTTGGCCTTGTGTCTTTATCATCAGCTTATTAACAGTCATAAGTTTCTGCTGTAAGTCTGTGTGTCTTACTGAGATCCTCGGCCAGCTGGACACGGCGGCCAGTGATGAGGTGGGTCTTCCTCTCCATGTCTTCCCCGAAGTCTTCCAGCACCTCCTTCACGTTTTTCTCCAACCGGCGCACTAAAAATACAAATGGGGGAACAAACACACACAAGCAAAGCACAACAATCAATATTTAATTCAACAACAATGCCTCAGATTTTTGTCTTGATGTTTCCATTGAATGATATGAAAACACATTTTACCATCATTAAAAAGGTTGGGAGACAAATTGTCCATTCTCACAATAGGTGTTTTTGAGTATACTGGTAGTGGAACTAATTTCATTATTGAATGATTATTGATGACCTGGATAACAATTTATGGATCTTGGCTAGCAGTAATGGTTTCCCCAGTTGACCCAATGAACTACATTTGGACTACTTTGAACTATATTATTTTTGTGTGTTTGCAAATTTACAAATTGAAAAAGAAAATATGCTGCATTCATTGACCTCAGTGTTGAATTACCCTCCTAAATGAGTGAAAGTGCTACTGCAACAATGCAGAATTGTAGGTAATGCGTAAAAATATCACTGATGACCTTAAGGCCCGGACACACCAACCCGATTATCGGCCGTCGGACGTCGTCGGACAGTCAGGCGAGGTCGGTGACTCGAGTCGGTTTGGTGTGTCCCGTGCCGACGTCAGTCGGCGTCGGGGTTCAGTGGCCAACAGCCTCAATGAGCAATCTGATTGGTGGAGTGCTAGCCCTTGACTAGCGAATCACGAGAAAACCGGAAGTGACGATGGTAAACATACTACGCCAACGCCAGTATCTTGTTATTATTAGCCATCGTATTTTTCGTTCAGGGAGTAATGACAATAACGATCTTGACTACTATGAACACTCTCTGATGAAAGCAATGACTGACGACAGTGTGCTCTGTGTTTACTAGGTCAAGAGTGATCCGTCATTGCCAGTTTTCATTTTTTTGGGGCGACAACACAGATTAGCGTCGCCTACTGTTATGGGGACGTATTATGAGGCACTTTTTTTCACCGACTCGGGGAGACGGGAGCCGACTGATCAGTCCGACTGCTTTTCTGCCGACGGTCGGCCGTTGGGTTGGTGTGTCCTGGCCTTTATAGAACAGCTCACAAGACACAAGTACCGGTACAAAATAGACAAACCCAACTACATGACAATTAGTCAGCCCTGCATAAATTATCTAATAGGAGTGGCTAACGAAAAATAAAGAGATATATAATCAAAATGTAGTTTACCACCATATTACCTTATTTTAGAATTTGTCTTCCATTTAAACTAAGTCCTAAATCCTTACCCTCAGTGTTTGTGAGCTGCTGTCGGAGAGTGTTGGCTGTAATGACCAGCATCCTCTGGATCCTCCAGAACAGTACCACGTCATTGCACTCCAACTGTTAAAAACATGCAGACACACAGCTTAGCTTTTCACACACTGACCTTGCATATAGCTGAGAATAATGTAGAAAAGAAAGACAACAGGCTGGTAACTCATCCTCTCTCCTTACCTCAGAGTCAACAAAGTGTCTCTGGTAGTAGTAGAAACCTCTCTTGCAGAGGTTACAATGGGACAGTGCGTTCTGCAAGAAGTGTCGGCGATACAGCTGATGCCACGTGTCCTTGATCTGACAAGGTAAGTTAGTAATTCAGCAGTTAATGGATGATAGATAATAATGAAAGAGGGCGTATATACTATGCATGTATGCAAGTGGTTATGATTTTTATTGAAAAAAAGCAAGCTTGTGTTTTAAATGAGCAAAGACCAAGATGATTCAAACTGGGAAAAAACGAATTAATTGAGAGATAATGGGTATCATTGGACATTAACATATTTGTCCTATCTCTTGTTTAGAGGCTCAAAGACATGACAGGTGTTTTAATCTCACCAGCACAGGGTCAACTTCAACCCCCCGTCCCTCCAGATTCTTCCTGACTGTGGTGACTTCGTCATTGGCCAGGTAGGCTGTGTGGTCATCGTGTAGCTTCAGCAAGCGCTCCAGCTCATTTTTTGTTTCATTACGAATGTGCTACAAGGGCAAAGAAAATGAAGTGAGCACTGTCATCATGGTGGCAAATGGGTGTTTAGATGTAGACTATTATTTCATGTATTGTGCAATTCCCAAGTACAGTACATGGGACTCTGCACTAATGTGGTACAACTGCATTATATACCAGTCAAATGACATAATTCCACCTTAAAGTCTCTGTGGGGCCTCTAAAAAACCAGCAGTTATACCCAGGGATTTGGGTAGACCTCTCAAACTCTGACCTGTTCTGGGGTGCGATTCTTCCAGTTCAGCCACCTCTGCTTCCAGTCTGGACCCACCATATCTCTGATTACTGAATCAGCTACAAGAAGAGAGAAAAGGAGAAAGACAGGGGGAAAAGACAGAAAAAAGAATAAATGACTGTGTGTTGTGAGTATGTTACAGTGTTCCCCACACTGGTTTTACTAAACCTCGTCTAACTCTGAGAATGAGTCACATTTATTAATTTACCTACATTTTGGTGCAGACTACTCCTCCCAACACACATGCAGACCTATACTTCATTTCCAGCAGTGGAAAATTACATACACACACTTTGAACATCATTATTTATTTAGCCAAATAATCACAAACTGACTACTGGGACATTGAATATTTGAAGTAAAAATCGACAACCTACAAAGGGAGACAATCAAACAAACTATTTAAATATTTACAAGCTCAAACTAACTATTTACACATAGGCTAAGCTATAGGAACACCCTAATCCAGACATCCGGAGAGAAAGAGTCAGACATAAGATCAAATGTGCCCCGCATGCCACACCTACTGACTGCCTTTGCACAGCGCAGGAGGCGAGATATAAACAATATTATATTGGAATACATTTTTCACCTTTTCCCCCTGATGGTCATGATGATAAGTTGCTAAATTTGTTGCCAGTCGCTGTTTACAAATGAAGTTGCTAAGAAGGTCTGAAAATTCACTAAATCTAGCCAGAAAGTTGGCAACACTGACTCTATAAGATTGATTTTGTGTGTAAGTGTGCGTGACATAGAGCTTGTGCCACCTCATATTTTTTGAATTTGAACAGATAATGTAAATGATACATCCCATGATGTATAAATGTTATAATCTCATTTGTAATGATACATTTGTCTACTGTGACAAACTCTGTATTTAAAAATAAAATGTGCTAGGCAGGAGGAGATCTTTGTTTTCGATTTAACATAATAATAAATTATTTTGAACAGCGTTAGTGCCGTTCTTAGGCCTGGTTCACACTGCCGACCTAAGCAGCGTGTGACGGAGGAACAGCTGTGTCTGGCACGCACTCAGTGTTTATACCGACAGCTTATCAGCTGTGTGGCTGCTGCTGCCAGCCCCATCTTTCTTACTGACTTTGCCTTTGATAAATACTATACAATAAAATCCCTGTTAACATATGACGTACGACTGCTCTAATCTGGTAACATGGGTGCAGAAACAAAAAGCAAGATGTTCGGCCACACACACGCACTTCTCAGGCAGTGTGAACCAGCCGTTAGCCAACTGATACGCACCTAAACAAGGCTTTGAAACATTTCAAAGGTGTTTTATAACATGGTTAAGACAGGGTATGGAGTCTAGTGGGTAAGTGACACTGCATGAGGCCATCATGGCCAACGTACTGTCTTTGAGGCGTGAGTGCAGGGTTTCCTCCATGAACTGGATGGCTGCATCCCACTGGGGCTTGTCTGTGATGGAACGGTCTTCCAAGGCATTGTGCTGGATCACCCTCTGACACACACACACACACACACACACACACACACACACACACACACACACAGACACAGACACAGACACAGACACAGACACAGACCAGACACACAGTTAAGTTCGGTACCAGTAGTTAGCATCAATTGGAATTTGTGCCACTGTTAGACTATGAGACCATTTTCTTTATGTTGATTGCACATTATCGTGAAATTGTGTCTGCTTTGGGAAGTGTGTTTAACTAGTGCGTATGTTGTGGGGATTCTTGCACCCAGGGTGAGTTGATCTACTGTGTGTTTACCAGGCTGTCCATGGCCCTCTCATTCCACTTGTGTCTCTTGATGCTCTCGTCCTTCACGGCCTCCTTCAACTTGTCAAAAATGTCGTCTTGGTCTTTGCCTTTGTATTCAGCCATGAAGCGGGCAAACTCTTCCTGCAGTGTCTCCCAGGCAACCTAAAGGGAAGCAAAGTATAGAGCAAAAGAGAAGGTTCATTTTATCATGAAGCCATTGGCTGATTGATTATTTCTCACATTTCTGCAATCTGCACCAATTAGTACACTGCAATGCTACATTTTGTCAATAAGATGCCAAATAATTCAGTAATAACAGAGTTTTGCAACATCCTGTTTTTTTTCTGAAAACAACAGATCATTTTTTGGGAAATTTCCTTTTCAGCTGCGGGTCAAGATCTGATTTACTGAATAACATAATGAACGGTTGTATAATGACTGCAGTAAGTCTGCGTTACCTCCAGTGCTTTGTGTGGTAGCTGCTTGTCGGTCCACTGCTTGAGCTTGATGTCTACGGTGGTGTTAAAGGTACCGGAGTCCATTGTTTGGGCAGCAGGCAGGTAGATGTTTTCAATCACATGGGTGGAAACACGTTCCCACAGCTTCTTTTGCAAGATGGACTCCCTGAGAGAGTAAACAATAAGTCCAACACTTAACTGGAGCAGATGTTTTCATTAGCACCTCTAGTTGTTCTTTGTGTTCTGACTTCTAGTAACATGTTGAAGGTTTTTTTTTTATTCTAATAATTATTCTTAAGATTTAAGATGGATCTAACAAGCAAGAGTTTCTTTGCAACACAGTTGCCTCCAGGTGTCCAGCTCAGCCCAGTTAAGTGACCCAGTGGGGTAAGAAAACAATGAGTGAAGAGGGATCGTTCTGGGCTGAGCTGCTTTCACTGGTGTAGTCAGTGCTGCTGCAGTTGCACTTGACTGCAGATTCCAATACAGCTCTAGTCTGACCCTGTTAGCAGAAACCAGCCTCCACACTCTCACTCCATCTCTCAATGGCAGTGTGGCAATGAAACAAAACCCTCCCCAAGTCCCGTTAGAGTAGACCAGTGCTGTGCCTCTCTCATTTATCATAAACGCATGCTCATATTTCATTAGGCTCCCCTTTTGTTCAAGCTAGCACTCCTCACTGTCAATAAGTGCTATCTCCAATAGTGCCGGCTGGCTGCTGGCTGGCTAACAGGGCCACCCCTGTTCCCAGCCATGGGCCATTCATCAGAGTATTGATCTGGGAGAACTGATGGCATGCACACTGGGGACGGCCACAACACCATGCATACATCTCATTTAGCAAGGTTTTCCTCATTGGGGGTCAGGTATAACTATACATTAAAGCACAGATAAATGCACCGAGAGATAGACCTGTTGTTTGCTCTAAAAATAGCTTTCCACTCAGGTCTGGTTGAGTAGTTGAACAGTACAAATACATGATCTAATTGCCTTTAAGCTAAGATCAGGTAGACAATTTTACACAGATGGCACCTCATTAAGACCAATATTCTACACAGAGAGGATTAACTAACGATAGTAAAATGATGATCTATATTTACTCTAACTAACATATGACCCTAGGAATCGCTGTGCATTTGGAAAATTAGATAATATCTAATTTGTTTGGTTTGTCCCTTATTTTTCTGATCGTTACCCCATATTATAATATATAAGATAAACATTGATAACAGCTTTGATTTTAAAAGATAGCAATTAAAAATAATGATTTACTCATCATTAACTTACCAGTGTTGTGGAGTCACTTGACTTAAACTAATGACTTCATCCAAGATTTCATTTTTGGCCTTTTCATAGAGTTCATTCTGCAAAAAAGACAAAATAACATCTGTCACATCTGTATAGTTACTATTCTTCTTTGGAGAATGTTCATGGAGCGCTAATTTTTCAATAAAAAAAACGTAAACGCTGTGTATTTGCAATTGCCGTTTGTGTTTCTCACCCTGTCCAGCTCTCTCAGACGAGGGTAGTTGTTCTTCCATTCAGTCTCCAGGTTGAAGCGAGATGCTGGGGTGAAGACGGAGAGTGAAGATGAATATTTGATTTAAACAAACCTTTACAACATCAATATGAACAATCTCGAAGTTTCCATTTCACATAAGTCAAATGATGATTGCATATCAAATGGTTATATTATGAAATCAATTTTTTTTACCTTGATATGTGTCATTTGGCAAGGAGTCAGTCTCATGCCTAGATGAAACTCATATCCTCAATGTTTCTATTGCTTTTTTTTTTTTACCTTTGATGTTACACTCCATCAAACACTAATTCTCTATAATCAACAGGCAACGACCATAGAGGGACAGGGCCTGCATTGTTTTAACTTGGTATGATAGAAAGGCAGCTTTCAGACTGCTAATGGTGCCTATTCTTTAATAGAAGTAGTGAGGACACACTCACTCTCTTAACTGGTCCCTTAGGAGGAGAGGGGATGGGGCCAATCACACACTCTTTATCAAAAGTCAGAGTTTTAGTTCCCATATATGCACACAGAGACACAGTGACAGAAACAGACACAGACACAGACACACAGACACACAGACACACACACACACACACATATATATACACCAAGCCTGCTGTCCCTTTCCACAGCTCCCTATCCACAGTGGAGATTAGGCTAATTGCTGGTTTGTGGGGCCATGGTGGCGCCAAGCATGGAGGATGGAGGCCGGCTGTGTGTGATTTGATGGGATATGGATCGATACACCACACAATAGGCCTGTGGGAACTGCAGTCTCACAGCCATAAATCTCTTGTGCTGTTAGCAATGGGCTTGAGATTGTCTAGACTAATTGCAGTTGGAGAGCAGTACTACAGAAAGGTGTGGCAGGTTGGGCTATACAGGGAGGTGGGAGATTTAGACGAAGAGGAGGAGTAGCACCTGTTCCCTGTACAGTTAATGAATAAAATACTATCATGTCCATTCACACTAGTAAAAGGATGTCTGAAATGTGTTTTATATAAACATTGTGCAGTCATACCTTTGAAGACATCAGCCTGCTGCTCAACAGACTCCCTAACCATCTTCCAGAAGCAGTCAGAGACGGCCAGACTCAAGTTCTTGGTGGTCACCTGGTGGGCCTTCAGCATGCCATCCCTTGTTGCATACATACATTCATTGTCAACTTTAAATGAATAAATCTGATGAAGCATTAAAGTTTAGTGAATCGGGTGGAACTTGCCTCAGTAATCTGGAGTTCTGGAAGAAGTCTTCCTCATAGTCTTTAATGGAGTCTATGCTTTCACCGCTGCTCCCTGCACACAAGAAGACAGCAGAACAAAGTGTGAGCAAATGACAATTCATGTACTGCTGGATTTAAAATAACAATTTGGAAAAACCAAGAAAAATCTCAAACTAGATCCTTGGTTACCACAAGAGGTGTCATAAAACCAAGTTAGTGAATTAGGACATGATTATGAACTGAAAGTCCTCCTATAAGAATGTTACCTTTTCCAGTCACTACAGCAAAGTAACCCAGGGCTTTCATCGGAAATAGCTTTCCTTCCACTATTTGCTGGATCTGAAAGAGAAAAGGTAAAACAAAAGAACTCACACCAGCCCACTTTGTAGTAGAAGCTTCCCCAACACTGGCTCATTGAGAGACCCTCAAGTTAAAATAAAAGTGCTGAGCTCCCTCTTGTGGAGCAGCTGCATATAGCTTTACTCATAGAAGCTGACACTTTATTCACTGGTTTGAAGAAACATGCAAAAGCAGCTGTTTTGTTAATTAAATTTAGCTTTAGGTTAACCCTTTTTGATGATTATCAATAGTGTGGAGAGATCCATGCTTGTAATAAAATAAGTGAATAAGTGCCAATGCATTAATAGTCAGTACAATAATTTACATATGAAGTAACATTTTTTATTGTACTGGATTTTTGAGAGAGTTTAGTTGTCTTACTCTGTTCGGGCTGGCCAGGTTCTTTTCAGCCAAGTCCACCTTGGTAAGGACAAAGATGGTCCTCTTCCCCTGAGGGTCCATCTGGCTAACCAAGTCTGTTACAATGCTCCGCTCTGCATCCACACTGCCATCTGGAGGGAGACAAGGAAGATCACAGGAGATATGACAATGGTCTCCCTGCTCACTATGACAAGTGCTGCCTTTATATATATGATTGTTGCAACTGTGAATAGTACACTCATGGCTCACCCTGAATACAGAGGATGATTGCATTGGGGTTCTGCATGTAGGCCTTGCTGATGCTGAAGATGGTTTCCTTAGTATCTGATGCCATACCTGCCGTCACCGTCTGAAAGAAACACATTAAAAAAAACCTTTTAAAGACTGTATTTGTATTACTATATCTGTGAGGACATTGGCTTTGGTTTTACATAAGCAATTTTACATCAGAGAAAATTCGACATAAAATCAGGATCATAAATCAATAAAATGTTCCTTGTATGTGTAATAAATCCGAATATGGAGCCATTACCACAAACAGTACAAGAAATATTGATTATCTGAAACAGACACCCTGTAAAGAATAATGAAAACTTATAGAGATAATGAAAGAGTAAAATAAATAAAAATTACACAAAGTATACTGTAAACATTCCCACCCTTATTAATTTAAGAACGTATACTCACACTGATGACACCTGGTAAGTCAACAAGCACCATCCGTTGGATACCAGGGCCTTTGACACTCAAGGATATTGTCTGACAAGCAGAAAATAATCATCATTATTCTATGAAACACTGTAGGTAAAACAGCAAGTAGCAGCTTTGAATGGAAATGGAAGCAATGTGTCCAACCTCACAGCTGACTGTCTGTCCCTCCTTCACACTCTTCCTCATCCTCAGCTCAATTTCATGCCTCAGAGCAGCCAGCTGCAAGAAGAGGAAGAGAAGCCAGATATAAACAGGTAAAAAAAAAAAAGTTTGTGCTAAAATTCATATTATGTGGATGGAATAAAAAGACTTTGTGACTTACATCCTCCTCCTTGGTAAGATCAAACTCTCGGCCACTGTCCTTAAACATGGCGACGTGATGGGGGCCTTCGCTTAATGTTACCTACAGAAAGAAGATGAGTATTGTCAAGGACTCAGATAAATTACAGAAATCCATCGAGGGGACCAGGGTTCCTACACATTGTACATTCCCCAAATACCTTAATTGTCATTTCTGGCTGGTAATGGCTGTAAATGCTGCCATTTCTGACGAGTTCTGACAATATAACAATGTACAATACAATGTAAATGTGTAAATCTTTTTTTCCTGTCCTTTTAAAGGAAAGATTACACAAACATCAGCCATTCTGGTCCCACATACCTTGACAGGAGAGCGGGTCATCATCTCTCCTGAGCCCCTGGGGAAGATCCTGGCCTGGGCTATCATCTCCAGCACACTGGTCTTCCCAGCACTTTGATCCCCGACCACAACCACCTGAAACAGAAGAGCAGGAAATGAGTGAGGAGTTGGACAAAACACAAATAACCAGACAGAGGACAGAAGAGGAGAAAATTAGAACAGCTGAAGCCAATGGCACAAGAACAAAGTGGAAAAGAAAAAAGGAGGTAATAAGTAATCAGGGTCCAAGAAATAATGTTTATTGCCCTATTTCTCTCAGAAACCAAAACCTGTTTTATATAACTATAATCCATTTCCATGAACAGTAGATATCTACATGTGATAGCTCCTTACCCTGGGTAAGTGGTCCTGGGTGTTGTAGTTGGCATCGTAGTCAGACAAGATATCCAGAACTTCAGAATACAAGTCAATAAGGGATTTCTACATGAGAGGACACAGTAGTAAGTTATATTAACGATGTATCAGCAGCCAACAAAGACTAGCAGCATTACAGGCACTGGATAATTTAAGGGAATATTCCTGCATCTGTACAATGAAAACATTTGAAAATTATATGGTTGTGTGTCGTGTTTCTATGCACAACTCACCTTCACTTTCCTTTGGTGAATGCCTTTATCATCTTTTTGCAGCACCACTTTCCTTAACTCTTTATTCTCCTTCTCCAGTCTCTCCAGCATGCGCTGATATTTTAGCTATGGGATAAACAGTAGAACACAATGCACAACCTGCATAAATAACACTTTGCATGTAAAAAGAAAACATTTTTGTCAACATCTGGTGGCGAAATTTAATCTGCTTGATTTTGATTTCACTTCACCGTGAAATAAGAAATACAGTATTGTACAATATATGACAATAAAAGCGCTAAAATAATTGAATAACATAACTGTACCTGTGTACGGAGCAGTTCTTCTTGAAGCTGATCTAGCTTTTCTTTGTCTGATGTCTAGAGGTTAAAGTAAAAAAACAAAAATAGAAAAACAACAGCAACAAATTGAGTTAATGCTTCCTTTCTGTTTTGAAAGTAAGGGCTTCCTGTTACTCCCACTGTGCAACTTCACAAGCATGAAATCCCATCATCACCACGAAGGTTGATTACGTGCACACTGTTACGAAGAGAACCAATATTGAGAGTCAAGTTAATGTACAAAGAGAGGAATACAAATTTAGATTTTAGGCAGACACTACTCATTCTAGTATTACTCAGCACCGATCAACAAGATATTGATTCACAAACAGGCACAAATCACAGAGTGAGCCCTGAAAAATACAGCTGAATATAATCACAAAATCATTTAGTCATTATAGCTTGATTTTTCATGATTGGGCAAAACTCATTTGATTATTTCTTATACACAACATGTTTGTCAGGATGAGAGACAGGACATAAAAGCAGGAGACACAGCATACATGAAAAAATGGGATAGGCAGCAGAAGAAAGGGAATGTAACTAACAGAAAGACAAACCAAACTACTTTATCAAAAACTATTTCTACACTACAAACACAGACAAGAAGTGTGCTATTAATGACCATCTAGCGGCAGTATATGACGATGTTTTTAATATGCTTCTGCCTTCTTGTTGACAACTCAACTCTCATTTTTTTTTTATATAGCTGTGTCCATTCATGGTAGTTTCAAAAAAGTGCAGCTCACACCATGCAGCGGGTTGACACTCCACTCCATGCAGTGTTTCCGTACATGAATGGAGGGCTGCTGATGATTGTCCATCCATTTGAATGAGAGAGTGAGACTGAGCTACGTCATTGAGCTTCTGGAACCAGGCTACGAAGGTCCATGCATGCCTTCTCCCCACGACTGACTGGTAAAGCACATTTTAGCACAGCCTGACAGACTATGGGGTGAAACATGGAGGTTTCTGTTGGGTATTGTAGGGGACAGACTAAAGTATCGACAGGCCAATTTGTCTGCATTACAAATATCATGAAAATAAGCTAGGCTAAGATAAAAGAAAATAAAAAACACTAGTGCCATGGCTTTAAGTAGAAGGATAGACACAAACACCTGTAAAATATAATGCAATCCACTGCAATAGTAATGCAATAAATGCATTTGGTCAGAAGAAGTATTTGTACTACGTTGCATTCTATTTTAAGATGTTGCTGTCTAAGTGGTAAACAAAATAAACATTCAATTTCAAGAGAAATTGAACATCGGCATAAACAAACACTGCATTCATTGCATAGCCACAGCACTGGAATGTATTAATGTGTTAACGAGTTATTTTGTAGCTGTTCATGTTGTTGTGTCCTCCATCCCCTTAAATTCTTTTATAAATTGAGTCTTGTTTTAATATTCAAACTGGCAGCTCTGTTCTTACAAATTAAAGAGCAACTTAACATCAGCTGAAAAGACACGTGGTTTAGTTTCTTAATTTGCTGCAGTTGTAGTACTGAATTGTAGTCCAAAGTATGCAACAGAACTGTTGAATGTGCTTACAGGTGCAACAGAGCACACTTCCAAGCACATCCAACCACAACAGATCTGCACCTTTTTACCAGAAAGGGCAGCAAAACACTCCTTTTCAGCCTGCTGTTAAATTTCTCTTTTATTTTGTCAAGGCGGCTGGTAGAAAGTATATATTCTGTTTCTTCTCTCCAGCTGTGACCTTTTAGAGGCATTGGTGGGATAGGGCAGATCTAAGTGGGTTGGGACCTTCACCTTGCGCTTCTGTTGAGGGGGGCTGGGGTTCGGAGGCGGACTGGGAGCAGGCTCTGGCGGTGGGGGACGCGCATTATTGGCTGCTGCGGCCCGCCGGACCTCCTCCTCGTGCCGCTGGATCTGCTGCTGAATTAGAATGAGCTCGCCAAGCAGACCCTGCTGGGGTACGTTATAGTGAGAGACAGGTAGGAGCAGCAACAAAGACAACAACCAGCCACTGCGCTGGTCAGTCATACAGGCAAATGCTGCACCCAAACAAGGCGACAACAGAGGAAACCTGTGTCTCAGTCACTGGCATTGGTGCTGTTCAGGCTGGGGAATCATGATACAAAGCTCAAGTTTAACAGCATCAAGGTCTTTAGCTTTAATAATCTTGCCACTATCATCAGTACGACCCAACAAAGCCAGTCTCTCTCAAAGACAAAGGGGAGATGTCAAACTTTGCCAGACTGAAGGCAGAGGAGGTGACTAATACCACAACCAGCACCTCTCAGCGAGTTGCAACAACAGTACCTCTGTTCCCTTTCCTCACCATCATGCACCACAGTGGATTAATGACAGTATGGAGGATTCAGACAACACAATAACTGATTTTCCTACTTATACTTATAAAAAAAATACAGTAAGAGACTGGAAATAAATTCAGGCGTTACTGGAAATAATAACCAAGTTCAGAACACAGCGTTTTAATGTACTGCAAATGCATAATTGGTTTGATGAAGCTGAAGATGATGATTAAATAAGCGAAGCAAGCACTGGGGTGTTTCTCTATCAGGGGAGAAGCACAAAGAGTACTGTATAGCAGGTGAAATTTGCTTTAGTTCAAGGGTCTCCAACATGACTTCATCTTTGCTAACTTTGGGCTGTTTTTTTTGCTTCTTTCTACTCTACGAAAGGCACATTACTGTTCGATGTAATCTGAAGTGAAACATCAACTTGTAAGAGTTGTGTTGTGTTATAGGCACTCATGTTGGAGACCACGATTGCAGACTAAAAGCAAGGCATAGGAGAGGAAAGCCATTATCTATTTTCTAAATGCACTTCTTAATATTATTGGTCAACCCTTCACATCATATTATGTTTGAACTGTAACTCTGTACAGTGTTAAAAACACACACAAAAACATGAAAACAAAAACTCTGGAAAAGAATAAACACAAAATGAACAAGAAAGGACAACAAATCAAACAGGAGAGGACAGAAATGAAACAAATGTGCATATAAAGTGTTCTGCCAGACATTGCTGTATAATAAAAAATATTCTCTATTAATTATATTTCTGGAAAAACAGTTGAGAATCATGTCAAGAAGTAAAGCAACTTTTGAAGCAATGATAAATATCAGTGTGCAAAAACTGTCAAGTTATATTCTGTCGAATGAGTGCCATACACTTTCCCTTAAGTCTGGACAGCTAACCACATTTTTAATCATAACTTTACTGTACAACAGTCATGAAATGGGAAGAGCTGTCCTACCATAACATTAACACTCAAAAGCTTATCTTGAATATACTGTAGGCTGGTGGCCAGTCTGGAACTCACAATTCACATTCAGTAGAACCGATTGATTCAAAACACACCCAAAAGTATTACATTTTGACGTATTATGAAACATATGCCATTTAGTGGTCACTTTTATTTAAACTACTTTGTCTGTGCATACGTTTATATAATTAGGACCTTCTTTAATTGCAACTTTTAACAACTTCAACAAGAAGGAAGAACCACTGCTAAGTACCCTTGGAGCCTCAGGGCCGTTAAATACTATGGTTTAATGCCTTGAACAATACAAAGTCAAATATACATTTCTTTGGGTAGATTTTGATTCAATCCACTGCAGTTCTTGCCACTGAAGTGAAAGGTAGCCAAGCTGCAGACGGGAGCTGAGTGAGACAGAGTGGTGGCAGAGAGGACAAAGCTGAGACGTGTCAGCAGGTTTTATAAACTTGCCTTTTTGTATTGTTTGTCGCTGCCATCTTGCGGTGACGCAGTAGATGAATCTGTGGCTTTTAGTGGAGGATCGCCTGTGGTTTCTACCAGAGGGGACATAACAACACAGAATGAGGTTACTTATAAAAATGCATCCTTGACTATTGTGAATATTGACTGCTGATATATAAAACACAAATACACAATAAGGCCAATAGCAAAAAGAAGCCATCAAAATAAAGACCAGAGCGATTAAATTTCAAATGTTTGGACAATCTTGCACTGATATATACGTATACAACATGTACACACATATATATATATACACACACTTATACATGTGTAAATTAGACTGTACAAGCCAAATTTTAGAATTTTGCTTAAACCTCAACTAACCCAAAATTAAAAACTACCAAACTTAGCTTTATGGAATAAAGCAGTCCATTATTAGAATTATTGAATTATTGACCCAAGTAACAGACTTAATTTGCAGGGACTATAGTGTGTTTTTGTTAGTCAATAAACTGCCGAAATTAAAGAATGCATTGGTAGTTATGTTATTAGTTCTCCAATAGGAGTAAAAAGTGGTTACTGTCGGATGTAATCAGACACCCTGACAATGACATCAGACAAAAACAAAACTTACTAAAATCAATTAAACAGATTTAAACAGTTAAAAACACTTAAACCTAATATTCACTGATCCACCTTGTGCCCAACTTACGTTTTTATTATGTAAACTTGCATGCTGTTATGCAACTTGCCATGCACAAAGCAAAGTCTGCTTAGCCATATAAATGAGGCAGGTGTTTACAAAGGCACCAGATAGTAATTTCAAGTTCATAGTCAAATGTAACAATCTCAGTAGACTAAATATTTAAATAGAACAACTTGAAGCTCTCATGGAAAAAGTATTTTTCTTAAGCCAGGGAGTGAAGTTTAAAGTAAAAGAGCCAGGAACACCCCTTTGCTTATTATATGACTCACAACAGAGGTGTGGTCCCGTCTGGCATGGCAAGTGTCCGTATAAAAGGCTTTGGAAGATTAGGTCTTTCCATATACTAGTGCATATAAACATAATGCATTTAAGGGTTATAGTATTATTTGTTTATCTATTATTTAACCACTATTTGGCATCAAGAAAACAAATTTTGTGTAAGTCAACATCTTGACATATCCAATGGATGTTCTATGTAAAGTTTATTTTGTGCGCATTTTCCAAACATTTGAGAGCATATAAGTAAAGGCAGAATGAGATCATCCCAAAGATTAGTGAATGTTAGTGTGATTAAAGAAAGCAGCCCATACAGGCCAGGGGAGAGAGAGGGTAGAAGTCAAAGGAGGCAAAAACCACAGGTACAGCCAAGGACAGTCGTGTTAAAGAAAGTCAAAAGGGAAGAAGGGTACATACTAAAGGCTAACACACTGGATCTGCATTTAAGACGTTTTCAGACCAGGAAGGTAATATTAAAAATCATGGCAGGTTATTTCTTTTTCTGTACTTCTGCTTTGATATGAACATGGGAATAGTAGCCATTCAAGTTCCTCAAAGATTTTAAAAGAAAGAGGGAGAGAAACTTAAAGAGGCTTTTTACTGATTCTAGTAAACAGATTTTGGTCAAATTGGATGTCTGCATAAATAAGTATACTCTTCAGAATAATCCAAGATGAGACCTCTTCACCATCCTAGTGACAGGTCATGCATTTCACTGAATACAGAACCTGTGTTAACCATGAACCCTGCCATCACTGACAGCAGCACTGGTCTGCAAACTGGAAGCCAACGTCCTGGGAAGATGCTCTGCTACCGCCTTTAGAGCCGAACCATGGCAAGCAGGAACCCACAACCATACCAATATCGTGGCAAGATGGTGGTCAAACAGCAGCAGAGAGAAAAGAGGGGGAGTGGGCAGCGCTACTGAGTGCAGGGTTTACACACCTAACAACAGATGCAGACCAGAAGCTCCTTTGACTTCACTACCCAAACTCACACCTGTGAAGAATGTTGAGGAGGACAGGAGGGTAGGGGGAGGAGGAGAAAGGAAGAACAACACAAGATAAAAATCATAAAAGACAGAAGCAGAGGGATGGTGGTCAAAGCAGGGACACAGCTAAATGATGTGTATTAAAACAAAGCCGTTGCTGTGCCAGAGCTTTAAGTGAAGTAGCCACCTAATGAGTAACTGTTAAAAGAGATTAAGCACAAACCAAACTGGGCAGGATCCTCAATGAGCACAAAATGTCAAATATTGTGTCTTTACCAGTCGATCGAAAGGTTTCTTAATTTTAAAGCCTTTCCTCTACTTGCTAGAGATTTGTAGGCAGAATCAGATTTATTTGTTAATGTTGCATTATGACATTAAATGTTTTCAATTCCTTGACTGGATGGAATAAATCCTGTCAAATCTGTTTGGACTTAAAGTCATGATTTCAAAACACCTGGACTATAACAGGTTATAACAGAAATATTGTGGTTAAATTATGTTTTTATTTGACTGTATTTACTCTTACCAGGCAGACTGGGAAATCTAGGTACAGAAATCAGCTTCAAATCTGCTGAAAAATCTCAACAAAGTTTCCACTTATAGGATGTTGAGGATAATGTTATTCTACGGTGAGCTGTCCCATTTGACACAGATTTAGCACCATTTACGAGCCAAACTGCTGATAAAATATTCAAGTGGCTGGTAGATATACTGGTGCTGGTAGAAACAATAGAGTGGCTGGTAAAATCTGACCTCTAACAAGCCATTTTGCTTGTTGACAAAAAGCCTGTATGTGCACCATTGTGTGCTATGAGCAGATGAAATCAAAACCCCCGATGCAGGAAATGTGAGCTGTGTTGACAGTATGGTTTAAAGTTACTCCTCTTCTTGATAAGGTGGTTTGAGTTTCTGCCTAACCGTAGTTAACTCCTTATAACTTATTATTCAATGCATCTGCAAAATGTTATCAAGTGATTTTAAAAAGACGGTGTATGGGGATGAATTCAAGGTAATAAGAGCTTTCAGGGGACAGACTTGTACTGACTTATCGAAAATGATACAGTTTTTTTTGTGTATGAACAATATTACATTTGACAACCATCTACCCAGTACCGGTGCCTGGTCCTATCTGAATAAATGGCTGTTTAATTTAACCAAAACAAATCGGTTATATGTTATTTGGGGTAAAGGAGGACTCCCTTAGCCACCACAACCATTAACAGAGGGGGTTGTTAAAGAAAAAGCAGCAATCTAGAGCATGAAGCAGGCTACTTTCTCATATTATTTCATAACTCTGAGTCTATGTTATCTCATTATTCTCAGCTCACATAGAGGTAGGAGAAAAAACACAAATAACATACTTTAAGCATGGTATAGGTCACCCGACTGGATTGTTAGTTATATCATATATAAATGCAGGGACCAATGCAGATGTAGAATGCAAGTTTGTGTACAAATTCTGTTATCTTCATCTAAAATGTGGACTCTGGACTATACACTCTGATGTCTGCAAATATTAATTTTATTTTTACTATGATGAACTTATTAGTTAATATATGTATATATACATATATATATATGTATAGTAAATATTTGAGGTCTTGTTCACTCACCAGAGGACAGGAGGCTTTTGAGGAAAGTGAAGTTCTCTCCTATCTTGTCTAGATCAGGTAGTAGTTTTGCTATTTCCTCCATCTCTGGTAGAGCTTTGGCCAGTTTATCTGTGGACAAGAGAGATAACATGTCAAGTGGAGTACACAGAAATGAAACTTGTCCCTGTTTTACTGACATCTGGGATCCTTTACGAGGAAAGACAAGGCCAGGAATTAGCACATTCATTTGAATCATTACATTAAAATGAAAACACTTACCGAAATCAATTTGTTCACTCAGTTCCCAGACAAAATCAGGAATGACCCAGTTGTATTCACTAAAATCAGGCAGCATGTCCTTCCACTCCTCATACGTCTGGAGATAAAATGACAAGATTATGTTATCATTACATGAATGAAAGTTCCACTACTGTTTTCAATAAGCAACCAGTGTGCCACCTCAGCTAGAAAAGGCTTGAGACAGCGATTTAAAATGCCATGGGAAAGGTTTTGCCACACATGACAGCATGGGTAAAACTAAGATGATTGGTGGTAAATCTTGTAAATTTGTCTGTTTATCAGTTTATATCTCTCTAACTTTGTGATGATGAGGTAACAGAGAAATAAAAACCAGTTCATGTGCAAGATGAGGTAGGGAATAGTTGAGAAATTCTGAATTAGACACCCTCAATGCTGACCTTTTTAGCTGTGTACCCTCCTCCCACTGCCGAGCCCAGCAGAATGTATCGGAGCTTTAGCAGCCGGGCAGCGAGGCGGGCCACCCAGAAATTGCGCTGCTGCTGGTAGTTACGGCCGCCCGACCCTGGGGGAGGCTTGGGAGGCCGCATGGGCAGCCGTGACATGGAGGTGAAATAGCGGGCTGCCGTGCGATGAGGAGGACGCTGAGGGTTGTTGTTCCCAGAGTAGCGGTGATGGATGGCACGGGACAGAGGGTGCAGCTTCTGTAGTGGTACCCGAAATCTCACCCCCATGTTGGTGGAGACCAGGTTCCTGCAGGCCATGCTGAGATGACAGAGAAATTGGACAATAAACTACACAAGCTCACCTTCCTTATGTGCCTATAAACACCATAATACCTGAATATATAATGTCAGTGGAAGCTGTCTGACGATGCAGCTACCATCCAAAGAGTAACATTAAATCAAATGAAAGTTTCAGGAGAATTATTTTATCGGATAAAAATGTGACACTTTGAAAGGAAGCTTGTATTAGTGGTTGTAACAGTTGGAATAGCAATAGAAGGGTTTTAGTAATATAAATAAAACTAAAATTTCACAATATGCATCCTGTGGCTCCATCATCAGGACATGGAGAAGTGAACTAATGAACCTCCTGAATACAAACAGTAGCAACTTCCCTTAGTGTAATAGAGCTCACAGGTACTGTGTGTAAGTCTGTCATACTATGACAACATTTCATAAGTGGTCCTTTTAGTAGAAGGTAGAATCAACCACAATGCTACAACATGGAGGCAAATTCAAGTTAATAGATAAACAGATCAGCTGACGTTGACTTACAATCAATAACCAGTCAGAAAAATACAGTCAAATACATTTTGTAAATAAATGTACTGTCTGTATTACTATCATATACTTAGCTTAACAGTATTAGAGAGTATTATAGCCTGTAAGTCGATTTGTTTTTAATTAATAACACTTGACAACCGTGTCGAGACTGTAAGAGTAAACCACAATCTCAGGGTAAACGCACCTAGCTGACGCTGAGTCAATCTCAGGTACGTTTATAACAAATGTCAGTGGCAGTGAGCGGAGGATGAGATCGAGGATATGTCTTTTTACATGAGGCAGGTAACGTTAGCTAGCTTCGCCGTCCTCAGCTGTCAAAATGACCGGCTATGTGTGCTTCCCTCGGCTAACACGATTAGCTTTCTGTTTGTCGTTCCCTTTATTAAATGAGGGACTTACCAGGCAGCTTTACTCCCGACACGCAACATGGTGCCGTTATCAACAGCGGACGAACGCAAATCTCTTTCAAATTCACTCTTTAGGCACGGTTTAATTCATCTTTCCAAATGGTGCACATTTGCTTGCCTGTTATGGCAGCTAACGCACTTAGCTCGTTAGCTAACAAGGACACAGCCAGAATGACAGTCTATTTCCGGTGAAAGGTACAACCTCCAAAATCGGCCCTGACAGAACACACACCAGTGAATTCGTTCCTATGAACCCAACAACAACAACGTGCTCCACTGTGATCCGTACTGTATTATGTGTGTGTATAACGTTATATATATATATATATATATATATGTGTGTGTATATATGTATATATATATATATATATATACATATATATGTTATATGTGTGTGTATATATGTATATATAAAAATAATAATGGATAACTGTAAAGGATGACAGAAAGTCATTTTCTTAATATGTGTACACTGTAGCAAGAATTTATATATATATATATATATATATATATATATATATATATATACATTTTTAATCTTAAAATGTTAATTTACTGTACAGCAAGAATTTATATATGTATACATTTTTACTTAAATTTTTTTTTATACAATTTTAAAATTTAAGATGTATACAATGTACACGTATTGTGAAAATAACTTTTTCATCCCTGCAAAGTTTCTTACATAAGAATGTCTTTTTTTAGTTATCCTTTATTAGTTTTTAAGTCATCCATTATTAGTTTTTAAGTTATCCTTTATAAGTACTAGGAGGAGGGATGAATTGGTGCAATGAAATTGTGAGTAATTCCCTCAAGCAAGTTCTGCAACCTGGCAGACTTATGTTAGTAAAGGGAACATATGGAGGTCAAAAGACTCCATCCTATAGTCCTACCTGTCAGTTGGGACATTTAAATGGTCAATACTGATAACATGATTGATAAAGTGGTCATTTGAATAAACAGGTGCAGCCTAGACTAGTTAAGGACAAAGTGAAATTCAGATTACTTTTATAAGATAACTAAATGTCTGCACTTAGCTGTGTGAGTTGAGATGAATGCTGTCCGTACAGATGTAATTTCTCCTTGCAAGATTTAGCATGTCACACATTTAGAAGTCAACACATTTAAAATTTGTGGGTGTCTGACTTTTTCTTTTGAGCTTCATTTTCAAAAGAATCACAGTGGATCCAATTACTCACCTGCATGTGTTAACCACGTATTTAAGCTACATTTGTGTACTGTAGGGAGAGAGGAGGAACTGCACAAGACCCAATGAATTAATCAAAATCAAAAATTCATAGTCTATGTGTTACCTTTGCAGCTCTCAGTATCCCACAATCCATTATGTACATTTAGGCAATCCCTGCCAACTGGTAGTCAGCCAATACCTCATGACCTCATTACATTAACCACTAATTGCACTTTTCTGCAAACAGGTTGATTCTATAAACACTATAATTTCTGCAACATATTGCAACTTGAGGACTGCTCATCATTACACTTTCCTGTAGCTTCTGCAGTTTTATGGTTTCTCATTAATTCCCCAATGGAAACAAATTACTCGTAGACATCCATCATTTTTGAGAAGATTTATTGAAAAGAAAGAAATCAAGATCAATCTGAAATACAATCCTCAGGGGAAAGAAATGAAAATAAATAAAAAATAAATTATAAAGTACAAAAATGTTCAAAAACAAATTTACATCTCTGCCAATAAAAACAATACATATACCCCAGATGAGCCTCTTGCTGGGGAGTGGGAGCTGCAAAAAAGAACAAACCCAAAAAAAAAAAAAAACAACTACTGAAAGAGCTGACATAAAGATGGACTATAATAAAAAGTTTTACCAACAGTATATTTTCATTCAGTTTGGGTGTCAACTTTTATTATTTTCTCTTTTCATTACAAATAGACATTTCCCTGAGGAAACAAAATCCACGTGAGGCTTCACATACTCAGTGGCTGACTCAATCTAAATGCCATTCGATGGTTTGTTTAAAATACATGATGTGAGTAAGATGCTAACTGTCAACAGTCGGTATATGTTGTACCTGTATAAGAGCATAGAGGTTTCAGCATAAAATCCATTGTTTTGACATAGCTGTGTCACAATAAAAGGCAAAACCGTAGCCTAGAAGAAAAGCAATAGTATTTACACTTTGCACGTCATTAAGTTGATGAATTTTCTGTATCAAGGTGCACGGTTATGACACAGCTGAATCACTTTTGCCCCTAGCAGCAATATAAATCACTTCTACAACAGACTGGTGATATCAAGCAGCAATGCACATTCCAATTCGCCGATTACATTTTAATTTTACAGAGGTAAAATAATTTTTAAAAGGTTGACAAAGAAAGTAAAATATGTTTGTATGTCGGACAGAAAAGTAACAAGATTGTCAAATGTTGCTCAAATTCTAAATTTGTAATGAGGAGGCCTCAAATATATAATATCATATCATTTGAATTCCCTTCTTGTGTCAGATCCTTGGTTTCATACAAAGCATTGACACAAAATTGAAGCAAAAGAAAAAGCTGATAAGTTGAAGCAGAACCTGCGGAGACAAATCTTTCCACTCAGGAGGGTTTAATTTCAACTTCCTTTAAACTCTAACAAGTAGTTGTGTGCTGCATTATATTTACCCAAGACTAACAAATATTGATCCAAGTTCCCCGATCATAACTAACTCAAACTAATTCAAACTGTGAAATAAATGCCCACAATTCATGCCCAAATAAGGAAGATCCAAGCTAATGCAACTCCATAACAAAAAGAGAAAGTACAAATAAATCCAATAGACAGTACAAATCAAAAGTAGACAGACAACTGATTGTAACACAGTACCAAAATAGTAGAAAAAGACACACCAGCCCTTTGATAATCCAAAAACCATACATTTTTATAACTAAATCTTTTGTCTTTTATGCACACACTAGAAATGTACATCTCATATATACAGATAGAATCCACCCTCCTATTATATTCCTCTTCTGCTTCTGAGTCTGTTCTCTTTTTACAAATAACCAATACAGATGTGATGAAAAGTCTTTGGAAATAGAATCAATAACCATAGTATTGCCTTGCATTAAAATTTGTTCTTTACACAACATTCAATTTTAGCCTCAGTAGGTATCTATAGAAATTAAACCCTGAAAGCAAACAGAAAAAAAACCCATACCACTGAATATTCAGAGGCTTATAAACTCACAAGGCCCATGTTTGGACACATCAGCAACATTGTTGAAATTCAACAGAAATTAGTAATTTTGACTTTCTATTTTGACTACATATCAGGAACTTTCTGAAAATTGGCACAAGAAAGTCCATTTGAGTCGTGTGAACCAGTTTCATCTACTATATATCATCATCAGACTGACAATTTATCCATAAAATACTATAACAAAATACTATAACTTTTCTAATCTAATAAACAATGTATCCATTGAAACTATGGTCACATATCACATTTGAGCTTTTCATTAAAAAAACAGTATGGATCCCATGTTTCATATGCATTTGTAATATTATTACAAGTATCTCAATGGCTTTTAGGAACTGAGCAACTTCAGACCCTTATTACTCATATCAAAGAAATCTGATTTGTTTCTATACGAATTAAATTATTGATAATCAATGGAGTTAATGTGATGTCAGGTGTCATAGATGATTAGGTGATAATACGTTGCTGTTACCAGCAGTTTGAGGAAGAATTTACTTAATTTTGTCAGGGAGAAGAAGAAACATTACATTTAATTTGACATTCTCTTGACATGGTGTCTCATGACCACTGTTTAGCACTCTAAAAATACTTTGGGACACACACCATTTAAAAACCATACAATTCATGAAAGGCAGGCTGCTATGCAGAGTTTACGGTTATACTGACATTGTGTGTTGGCGTCTTTGCTTCAAAGTGACACTCCAACCTAAATCAAACACTATGGTGGCTTTAAAAGGCAGCTGCAAATAGTCTGTTTTCTTCTTACAGCAGCTGTGGTCAGCTTGAATTCAATCAGTTACAATGATTTATCTGCTTCTCCACTGTCCATCTATTAGTGCCAACATTGGAATCTATCTCAATAGACTTTTTTTGTTATTAAGAAGGAAACTACAACCTTTTACAGCAACCTTCAAAGTTTACAGGAAGCGAGTGAGCGAGTGTTTGACACTGAAATAGATTTTGTGGAGCATCACTTTAAATGTCAAAGAAAGAGTGGTCAACATAAAATATAGCCCTTAACTCGCTATGCAGGTACCTTATGTGTAATACATGAGTATATATGGTAACCAGCATCCATCTTATGCAGTGTGTGTTGTTGCATGGATGTTTTAAATGTGCCAAGAGCAGTGAGCTGATGAGACGCACAATGCCTTGCCTTTACGATTCCACTTTTAAATCAGTCTTCCATAGGAAGAAATTTAGTTTTAAAAAAGAAAAAAAAGAAACCTAAGTAGTTAGTACTACTGGCTTTCTGGAGCCAATCTGACACGAGTTTGATTTATACGGTCTCATGCATGTGATTAACTGTCCACGATAAACAGCTAGTTCATGCAAAATACAGAGATGTTAATGTGTTTCTTAATTCTACAGTAATTCTGTAATTGTGGTAATATTTCTAGTATTGCAACCATCACAATTTTAGATGATGATGAGGGAGCTGGCTTCATGCAAATCTTGGTATGCTTTCAGTCTCCTGTCTGATGTCATTAGTTGCTGACAGGACATGGCTCATAGATGCAAAAACGTAAGATTAAGAAGGTTTATAGCCACACTGGTGGCCCATGAAAGCGTAAAGCTCATTTCACTCTAGTGAACATTTTTTGATCGATTGATTGACAGATCTTTATCACTAGTGCGGCAAAAAGTTAGGCCTGCGGGGATCGCCAGAGGAAAGGCCATGTTGTTCCCCGTCAGACTTGTTAGCACAGTATGCTAACACTTATCATTTAAGTGTAACATGGTATGCATTAGTACAGCTGAGGTTGATGAGGATTCAGTCATTAGTTTCAGAGGTATCCTATTATGAACAGAAGAGTTGATTACCGTTGGTGTCCTGACATGAAAAATCAGGACCATGAATGTCTATGCCAATTGTCATGACAATACATCAAATAGTTGTTGAGATATTTCAGTCTGGACTGACGGACTAATTGATCCACTATGGGAGCATGGCTAAAAATCTCTGTTAAAAAACATAAAGTTGAGCTCTGACAAACAGACAAACACAATGGAGATCCTGCCACAGGTCCCAGCCTGTGGTTAAGAGAGGATCTGTCTCCCTCACAGTTCACCTAAAGTCCTTTACTTTTTACAGGCCTTAATGTTTTTGAGTTTGTATGAAAGATGTGGCCAATGAATTTTAATTTCAATAATCTATCTGTGATGTATATTGTACTGTGTTTTCTGGCTGCGAGGGTGCAACTGAACAAGTTGACTGCAGCCATTCCAAGATTCCCAATCTTCTACAACTCAAGAAAATACTATTTGAATCCTGGGTATGAGTCAAATTAGTACCCTGGGGGTCCATCATAAGCTATAAAGCTTTTCTTTTTGGTTATGAGTCTATGCTTTCTAATGAGTGCTAGCCAGGTGGTAATGCTAGCTCATTCAAATGACTCTATGTATGTATGTATGTATGCATATATACATACATACATACATACACATACAGTATGTGCATTAGCTGTATAAGACCACTACATAGTAGCAATCAGAGCCTGCACTGTCAACAACAGGTTAGACTTGAGGACCATGTGGTGGTGGCTGCTCAGAAACATGAACATAGAGTAGACCTGCTGCTGATTATGATCTGATAATACAGAATCTGATAAATTACACAGAGTTGGTCAGTACAGCCAACCAGTGATATTTATCTATTACTACAAGCACCTTCAACCCCACCAGTACTTCCACTTTTAATTACAGAATGTGAAATAAGGTATACTTAAATTGTACTGATTGAATTTTGTAGTGAAACTGCTTTCTTCCGCCCTCTTCCAGACTCTCTTTTTATCAAGCAATTCTCTCACTCGCCGTTCAGTCAGAGTGGGTCGTACTTTCTACGGCCAAAGCTGTGGTTGCTTATAAAATCTGAAGACCTTATCATTTTAACAATGGTATAAAAGTAATTACTTTCTAGCATTCAACACCTTCCATTACATTTCTGACAGCACACGTATGTCAGAAACCAGCTCTATGGCAGAGTGGGACTTTGGCTCTCTTTTATACCTCTTTCATACAAAGTGACGGTACATTAAACCATCACTTTCTGAAGACGTAAGCGCGCAAATTCGACCTGGCCTATCAACCGTTCTCCCAGCCTGGGTTGAATGCTGCTCAGCTTCAGTGAACAGACATTGCAATAAGGAATGGGAATTACATTTAATGTTAATGTTAAATGACATTTGAATACAAGCAAGAGAGACCTGAGAGCGAGCAAGTGGGCGAGCCAGAGAGCAGGAGTACTGAGAGAACCGAAACTTAACTTTATTTGGTACTTTTATGTAATGCTTTTGCAGTAACGCCTGTGGAACTACAGTTTTGGACGCAAGTCTCTGAACGGTAATAGCAAGCACTTGTATCTGTGACAATTCCATTTGAATAGATCAAATTTGCATTCACTGAACATGTGTTATATGCAGGTTTACTGTATGAAAGGGGTAGATTAAATTCTGGGGCCGGGGGGGTGCTAGGAGTTGATCATGATTTGATAGGTGGAGCCATTTTCTGGGCGAGGCTTGGCTTCAGTAGTGGTCGTTGGCTTTGGTGGCCAGTCGGGGTCCACACTGAGCTCCTGGGCCAGATGCATGTAGCGAGCCTTGGGTGTCTTACGTGGGCAGCACAGCCGGGACAGACACTTGTACGCCCGCAGGTCAATGCCCCCCTGAAAATAGCACAGCCCCAAAAATAAACAGATAAATAAAACAAAAATACAAAATTAAGGGGTTCCATGAACTTGTGTCATATATTGTTCAGATTTTCTAGAAATGCTTTCACTGACAAATGCAAGTCAGACAGTGGCATGCTAATTTAACTGTTACATGCAAAATATATAACTGGAGAAGAACCATTTGTGTAACAGGCAGGCTTTTTTTTTTACACTGGTAAATTGCAACAAGTGTGCATGCATGAAAGTCATTCAAAACAAAATTCAGCATGATAATTGTTTGAAGGAGTTGGCAGTCGACTGCTTAAAGAGTGAGTCCACTCCTTAAAAACAAGCTCATGGAGTCAAAGATCCAACAAACAAAAGGATTCCACAGCAGGTCTTTACAGATTAAAAAACATAAATGAGTAAATTTTTTCTCATTAACCTTATATTGGAAAAGACATTTAAGGTTTGCCTGCTTCTATTTTAAATATACTGTACGTTAGAGGGAGCACTGACAGTGTTGACTGACAGTTATCTAGGACATAACAGGGAAACTAAGAGATAAGTACAGCAAGTAAAGCTTTGTAGGGCCCATAGGCTGAAACTAAAGGTGCAGTAGACAAAGGGAGAGGAGGTGGAAAGCAGTGGGAGATATCCAAGGCTTAGAAACAGTTTGAGCAATTGACAAAAGCAATCAATAATAATAATAATAATAATAATAATAATAATAATAATAATAATAAAATACACTGTATATATTTGAATGGATGACTTTTTGGGACAACATCGCTTCTTTCAGTTTGATTTGCAAGTCAAAGTATTTTCGGAAAAAATAATAATATCCACAATAACCTTGCTAAAGGTGGTAAGAATCTCTAGTAAGGTGGCTATATAGCGGTTTCTAAAGGAGAAGAGAGCTTTACTCATTCACTTGACATTAAAACTTCCCAGTCATAAACCCACTTATCTCCATGTTTAAACGTGACCTCCAGCAGCCCTGAATTTGAAAATAGCTTTCAGCTTCAGCAAGAACATTATGAAGTAAAATACTTGCTCTTAAGAGCAGTTATAGAGCAGAATGGAGTCAGAGAACAGAATAGTTTGGAGAAAATCTACAACTGTTAAAAACCCCTGAACAAAAGGCCCATCGGGGGACACGAGAAGGAGAGGACAGATCAGAATGAGACTGACATCTCGCACATGCATGTCTTGGTTAGAGGTTAGAATAGAAAGGTGCGGTCTGTAGTTTTAGAAGAAGTGGGGACAGAGAGAGGAAACACCACACAAGAGGAAAATGAAAGGGCTAAAGAAGAAGGTGTCAGATATTCCCAACCTGTCGTGTCGGGGCAGCAGGAGTGACGCCAAAGCTGCCATGTTTGTCTCGGCTGAACACAAGCTTCCATAAGATGATGTCAAGGATGAAGGTCTATGGAATAGCGCAGTGGGCAGGGGAAAGGATTACAGAGAGGCTAATTTGATTTCACATAGCGTCTGTTATTGTTTTTTGCATAGAGGTCTTCAATCGTGTTTGCAGAGTCACAATATATCAAAGCTTTAGGTTTTCTTCCATTAAGCTGTGTGTTTATCAGGCATGTGATTGGCACATTACAAAAGAGCAGGAGAATATACAGAGTGCAGAGCATAGATCTGCATGATTCACATGGGTCACATTTTCATGTCAGAAAATCCGTAATTCCAGATGAATCCGGAAAAATCACATCCTTGGTTAATACATGTGAGGTTAAATTAAACTTAACAAATTAGTAAGAAAAGAGTGCATGGATACTATTGTCTCAAAATACTGGAAACTCTGCTATAATTTCTGATTATGTGCAAAATCATCTTGGTTGATTTTTTAAAGAAAATTTCACTTAAAAAAGGTGAAGGATTTGGACCGGTAGTTTTGGAAATAGCATAGCAAAGGGGTGTCTGCTAAGCAGTGCATGTATGCAAGGACAGCTATCTAAAAAGGGAAGGCAGAGGAATAGTGATACTGCTCCACTGAGAGTGGCAGGCCAGCATAAACTACCAATAGTAATGCGTTGTACTGCAATAAATAATTTTCTTAAAAGAACATCCGTCTATCCAAAAATTAGACAAGACAAACGTATGCTGCAATGAGGAACTTCAACAGTCCCACAAATGCATACATTTAACCAAAAACAGTCACATACTTTGTGTTAAATATTACACATACTTTACTTTGTAGACAAGAACATTTTCACTTTACAACATAATTTCTTTTCACAACACAAGACTGATCCTGCTGCTAAATGAGACAAGGATGAGCACACTGCATGAAAAAACAAAAACTGAGCATGAGAAAAACATCTACTGTTACCATGTGTTCAAGTGTGTATGTGTGTGTGTGTGTGTGTCTTACCTCCACCAAAACAGAAACAGCAGCATTGACTACGATGATGAGGAAGAGTTTTACTCTCCATTCAAACGGGACACAAACAATCTGTACGGAGAGAAAGAGAGAGATACTCCAACGCTGATTATCATATTACATTATAGAATAACAGTCTCGTTTCAAGGCTCCGCAATACTTCACTTATTAATTGAATTATGGACTGGGCCTTAATATTGTTTTAAAATATTAAAAGAGTATAGATCTCAGCAAGCTACAGTCTTCAGAGCTGAGTAAAGGTGTATGTTTCTCGGGATTGAGGTCTTCTTACCTCTAGAAACTCATCGATGCCTTCGACTGGGTGGAACATAATGAACAGCAGGAAAATATACAGACAAATGGCAGACAGCACAAAAGGCCCTGAGGAGGGGACACGCAAGCACACACAAACAAATTTATTACATATAAAAGTAACTTAAATTAAGCAGATTAATAAATGACTTAATTAAATAATTTTCTTACAATTCTTGTAGCTAGGCTGCCTGAAAGGTTTTCCCTTTGAGAAAACGATGGCAACAATTAGATACTGGAAGCAGGAGACATAGAAGAGGCTGGTGTTCTCGAAGTTTTGGATGTTGTGGTCATCCACTTCGGTGTCATTGTCGTCAGACACGTTAATGTGTGATGAACGGTTGCAGACACTGGGTGAGAAAAGAGTCAGATTCAAGAACAATCCAATAACATTTTCAGCATGTGGGACAGCTTTTTTAAAGATTAAATGCTATTAAATCATTCCCAAAAAACAACAATTAAGATCTTATTTTTGTTTTGCTGAGGTACATTGGAAATGATAGCAGGTACACACTCTGTCAGTGGTGTCCAGACTGTGTACCAGGGCTGCTGTCGGACCCAAAGGAATGTAATGGTCTGGAAGCCCAAGCAGATGAGGATTTGGGTCAGCACAGAGAACAGCAGAGGCCCTGAGATCAGACCTGACGGTGGGCGACGTGACACCAGTTCTTTCCACGCTGGATTCAGACTCACTGAGGAGGGGCAGGGGGAAATTATAAAGATGGGCAGAAAACAGATATTGAGGGTGAGCAGAGAAGGCGCGCAGTAAAGATTTAGGTTAAGAATTTTTTTTTTTTTTAAATCACATCCATTTGTTATTTCTCTTATACTTACTGGTAAAGACAATAAGGAGGATGATGGCAATATCGATGAAGAGGAACTGAAAGTCCCCAAGGTTACTGAGGATCTACGTAACAAAAACAAAAAAACAGCACTGATCAGAGACGGGATTTCTCACTTATTCCTCAGCTACAACTGACTGCGGGAGCTGTATTACGTACAGAGTAGAGGAGAGTGACACTGATGTACTGGATGATGCTGTAAAGGGCCATGAACTTAAACACACAGAAGGAGGTGATGAGGGCAGCACGCCCCTCCCTGTAAAAACAAGAAAACACACAGTGTTATCCCTCTATCGACCTCAGAAGTAACATAAGGTCATGTAGCTATAAAAACACAGCTTGACATAAAAAAAAAAGGCCAATTAAAGCACCATGAATTTGTCTAAAATCGGTGCAATTTTAAGGAGAAAACTAGCTTCTAAATACATTTATATACTCTCTATCATTTATTTATTTATTTATTCATTCACTGTGTTGCGCACAAATAAAAAGGAGGAAAGACCAACCTGATGAGGCTGGGGACACAGGAGATGTTGGGGGTCCTAGAGGTGAAGGGAGAGGCTACCGAGGCCTCAAGCTCTGACAGAGAGATGCCACCATGAGCCCTCTTCAGAGCCTGGTCAAGGGAAAGTGAGAAATACAAGGTATGTTCAGAATGCAATTAATATCCATTTAAACCTGTTTTTGTCACACTAAGAATTACTTTGAAGTGGCTGTACGTACCCCACAGTCGTTTGCTCCGTCTCCGCACATCCCCACAAAGTAGCTGGAAGTAAATCATAAAAAACAGCGACTCTGTTACTACTTTCTTTCAATCAATAAAATGTATTCATATTTAAAGCTCTGACTGAAGGCTTACTCTACTGCTGCTGGTTATTTAACAGACTCTACACTGTGGATGTAATACTTCTATAAACGTTGTATGACATGTCAAAGTACTTCTTCATAGCTATATCATGTATTTGACTTAAATACTCACTCTACGCCCTGCAGCGCCTCAATGAGCTGGGTTTTCTGGTCTGGGGCCATTCTGGCAAACACTGTCCCATGCAGCACAAGCTACAAGGCAGAACACACGATCATAACGAAACATTAGGTATCGTGGCGGTAATTGTACCCAAGGAATCATAGGAGCAACTTCTCCTTTAACTTTCCTACTCCAGTTACAGAAAAGGTTTGAGTGATGTCCATTCTCATTCAAGAAACCTCGTACCTTTTGAAGCATGTCAGGGAAATGCTCCTCGATGACCGCAAATGATTTTCCGTTCATAGCAAAGTGGTACAGCTCTTGTGTTTTCTGTTCATCTACGTGACATACATCCTCCAGACTGATGTTCACTTCCTGTTAGAGTAATGATATTAGTATGGATTAGAGCCAAAACATTAAAAGATACCAATAAAAGGAGTCTTAAATAATTACTACTTTTCTGTTTAGCAAAGGACATTTTTACTGTTCAGCTATTGAATGCTTAAATATATGTATTTAGTGGTTGAAACTTTACATTTGTCTCTCATCCACATGTTAGAATCCTTTATTTATATTACAGTAACTTACATTATTGTACATTACCGGTATAACAAGTGCGTCATGACTGATATCACTCAAAAGTAATTTGTGTGTTTGGGCTTTAGTATAGGTATCAGTGATGAGACTCGTCTTTGAAGACAACACTTAAGTAAAGTAGACAATATAATCTTTAGTGTATATATCAAGCTACCTATAAATATTTTTTAGGTTTCCTTTTCAGACAATAATAGAAAATGGCAGAGAAGTTGTGTTCCCTCCCACTACATAGGTGGTGTGGGACACTTTGTCACTGAGAGACCTACAACAATTTCACTTATTGGGTTTCAGAGATTAGCATCATCTTTCCATCCCTTTGTGCAGAAGTGAGGATGTAGCCTTTTATTGTGTGCATGTCTGATTGTGCAAGCCCTTTCATCAGGTGCTCATTCTCTATGTGTGGGTTTTGTGTCTGTGCATCTGTGCAGGTATCAGTGTTAGCCCCATCGCCTTACCTCCAGGCGAGATATCTTGCTCGGCTTGTCAGCGTATCTCCAGGTAATCTTGGCGGCTTGTCCATTATGGGGAGGGAGGGCATCAGCAATGATGACTGTGTCTTGGGGAGGAATCATTCCACAGTCCCGGGCCACAGAGATAGCGGTCAGCATGTTGTCACCTGGAATGTGAATACAGCACACATTTATTATTTTGCTTCTTATGCTTTTAAGTCACTCTGTTCCTTCCTCTCATTCTCTATCTTTCTCACAAATACACACGCATTACAACCTTGAGATTTTTTCTGGTCAATTCCCCAACAAGCATTTATATTAGTCTGGGGTGCAGGGTGTGAGGGTGGTGGTGATAGTGAATGGAAACAGGAACCCTGCAGATCCAGAGGGTTTTAAGAACATATGGAGTAAATATGAGGAGGAGGAGTAGGACAAGGAAATAAAAAATAATCCTCTGGTGGATACTGGAGTATGTTAGTGCCAGTTACACTGAGCAGCCTAGAAAATGGAATTAAATGAGATTACAGGTACAGCTGAGTAAATACCAGAGGGATTAAATATTTCGATTGCCAATACACAGATTACCAAACACATTATGCTGCCTGTGTCACAGCAATACACAAGCTTTAACCAGGATTGTGTGTTATGTGTACTGTACGTTTTCATTTGCACATCTCTGTGTGTTTGTTCTATTTAGTGACTTTGTTGATGCCATCACTGGTTTAATTCAAGCCCATGTGCACGTGTGAGTATTTGTGCACACACACACACGTGTGAATGGTCTCACCAGTAACCATGACAGTTCGGATGTGTGCTCCGTGGAGGTCCTGCAGCACCCCTGGAGTTTCTGCCTTCAGTTTATTCTGCATGATGATGAGACCCAGGAATTCCATGTTTGCCTCTATATGATCTCTAGTTGAAAGGAAAAAAAACCAAAAACATACGTGTTTATACTTACGTGCCAAGGCCGATAATAATTTTAGAGGGTAAAAATTCAGATTTCAGATATGGCAGCTGATACAGAGAATTTTAGAGCTGGAATCAAAATGACGCTTTTCTATATGGATTGTGCACTAATACGACTATGTAAAGGTACTCAGAAGGCTGCTGAGACAAATAACATTTTTAAAGAATTTGAAAGTTAAGTTAAATATTCCTTAACATGTATAATAACTGAACATATACACTGTCAACAAGTTCTAGTTGACATTGCTGAGAGCTGCACTCTTTTGGATAAACTTTGCTAAAAAATCATATTGGCACATGTGAGATACACTGATATAATACCGATATGTCTGCAATAGGTCAATATTGGCCACTAATATTAGCTTAACTAAAATACAAGGGGGACTTGCATACATTTGTTTGACACAAGAGCCCCTTCACCTGATTTTCTTATTTATATATCACAGACTAGAGGGATGAAGGTGTGACGGTCCAACGTCAGCAGTGTGAAGCAGCATGCTAAAAAGCAGCAGCAATCCTCAGCTTGAAGTTCTCTAGGTAGGTTTAAAATGGAGGTCAAAAGTAACAATATCAACAATATACAGTATAATACCTGCTGATGTTCTGGACTTTGTGCCAGTTGAGTTTGGATTCAAGTCGACGATGAGCCAAAGCTATGACCCTGAAACCCTGCTTGGTGTAGCTCTCCAAAACCTCTGCAAAGTTTTCTGGCACTACAAAGAGACATTGAAGAAATAAGTAAAGTTAAGAAAGAGGGGCAGCAATTAAATAGGACACGTCAAACTTCTATATAAAAAAGTTTTTTTTAAAAATGATGGGCGCCTGGTTAGCTCAGTGGGTAGAGCTGGCGACCCATGTACTGAGGCTGAGTCCCTCCCACAGTGGCCCAGGGTTCGATTCCGACCTGCGGCCCTTTGCTGCGTGTCATCTCCTCTCACCACCCCCCTTTCCTGTCTGTCTACAGCTGTCACTATCATAAAGGCAATAAAAGCCCCAAAAAATACTTAAAAAAAAACAAAAAAATAAACGATATAACAAACTTTTATATAAACAGGGGACTTCTACAGCTTGCTCCAACACCTTATGCTTCACAAGTGTTCATAAAGTGCTAAATTAGCACTGGTGACACAGTAACTGTTCCGTTCCAGATAATTTTGATAATAACATATTCTAGGACTAATTAATGGTTACCTAAAGCTTTACTATAAGAAATTTAATTTTTATCTGCAATAAACTGCCAAACAATCCTCTGTCCTTATCATCCATCATCGTCACATCATCACTATGATCATGATAAAGTGATGATCCTGCCATAAGTTATCCTTATGGATAAGGGGCATTGTTGCCATCGACTCCAGTAAAACATATCCTTAGGTGCTGTTTGCTACTATAGCAGTTACAGTAATCAGACACCTCACCTGTTTCTTTCTTGCAAAGACTAACCACCACCTCTGGCGCCCCCTTCGTGTAGGCATCCATACGTTTCTCCCCCAGCAAACGAGCCACCACAGTCATCCTCTGGAGTGCTGAGGAAAAAGGAAACTGGCGCACAATACCAATCTCATACGCTGACTGCTCATGCACACCCACACAGACACACACACACACACACACACAAAAAAGACAGTCTTTACCGTTCATGTCCAGGAGAAGATGAAAACTAAAAATGTGGTTTTTGGTTTACTGCTAAAAATGAAAACATGGAAAATGCTACTAATTACAAAATTACTACTTTTAGAAGGATAATTGGTAATTTAAATGCTTAGTTAACAAGATCCTGACACATAAACAGATTAGATCATCATGTTGATACTGAGCTATAAACAAATGTATTTACAATTTTATAATACATCTTTCTGAGACACTGACAAGTTTGTCAACTTAAAACATTTAAATATACATTAACTGGCCAACATCATTATTAGAAGGCCACTATTTGTGCTAAATTTTACTGCTCTTGAAAATCTGAACTTTTCTTTCGGAAGGAAAAATAGGAATCTTAGGAGTACATTTTCAAAATGAAAGCAGGCTACTTACCGAGAGTTCATACAGTTCCTAAAATGAGAAAAGTAGAGTGGGATGAGTCCGTGAGAAACAAATAAACCAACCATTCAGAGTATTAATAATGTTGCTGTTGTGTTATGCAGGTAGTGTCTATTAATGTTATATTGAGGCACAAGAATATGCTGGTTTTAATTACAGCCAATATTCTGTCAACTTGTCTTAAGTCAACTTGTAGGCAGACTACAAAAAAAGTCAGAGAATGAATAATACTATGGCCAAGACCACACTGCAGCTTTAATAATTCATTAATATCATCAGATTGATTTTATTTTATAAATTTCAGTCTTTGTATTGATAAAAGATCTCCAGTTTAACAACTGCGCTGTTCGTACCATGTCCTGTTCTGTTGATGCAGCAGGCTCAGGGGGCAACAGCTGTTTTGGGGGTCGAACCACAGTGGGCATGATACGGTTGTGGAGAGATGTTTCCTCCTCAGTGGCCTCCTCCAGGATCTGGACAAACAAAGATTTTAGAGAAAATGAGTATTAGAAAAATGTAATGTAAGCGATATCAAGAATATGTTAATGAATTAAACATATTTGATATAGTAAAAAAATATTCCCTCTTTCAATTGGCCTACACATAAAACAGATTCCAAGTAGCTATTTGTCCCCATACGCCTTCTTAAGGGTGGTCTGACTAATTAGATCTCCACTGTGCTGCCCTGACCAACTTTATGCTTTTGTATAAATACATAACAACTCACCCAGCCTGTAGCTTCAAACATTTTGAGGTCCAGCGGGTCTCCAGACAGCTGGCCCTCTATTTTGGTTAGAGAGTGGCAGGTGGCCATACAAGCAACAAACTGGGACTTGACAAGATTCTCCTTGTAGGCATTTTCCTCTGACAGGTGGAAACTGGAGAGGCAGGACAAATAGGAGGTATATGATTATGGCTACATTTATACCATTGATTATTGCTACATAACATTTTTATCATTTTCTTAACATAATTAACCACACAATAAATAACTTATTCTAGATTTAGGGAATTAAATAATCATATAACTCAATATTTCTGCACTTTAAAATATCTGATGAACAATTGTAAGAATTACTGAGCAAACAAGGGTTGATTTTGTTGGTGTCTTCTGGTATCAAAACAATTTAACTTGAGCTGTTAGGGCATATGGATAATTATGTTGTGATTCTGTGAGATTTCAGCATTTGCAAGGGTTTGAAATGAAGGAAATTAGACCTTCTCTAGATACATTCAAGATATTCCAGTATATTTTAATTCCTTTGGACCAGATAATCAGAAAAGCAACATGAGCTCAGTAATGGCTAAACTAAGATAATGACTTCAGATTTCTACGGCTTCTTTCACGTGCAGTCAAAATGCACTGAAGAAGTGGGAGGTCCATGTTTGCTATTGTTGACCTGTTGATTAGAGAACAGACCAGCTTACCTGCCATTCTCAACCCTCTGCACTCCCCATAAGTCTAATCCATCTTCTGTCAGAGTTCCAGTCTGCAAGTATATAGAAAGTAGAATAAAATAAATAAATTAATAGTTTGAATCGAATCAAATGAACTAAAAAACATCTTTATTGCCTCACAACTAGAGGCAGGTACAATCTATTTTGGGTAACATCTGTTGTTACTCCCTCATATGAGTGATATGTAAGGTTAGTGCCTACTACTTGAAGAGCAAAAACAGCGGTCATACAACCACGAGCACTTACCTTGTCAAAGCAGACCAGATTTATTTGTCCGCAGATATTGATCCTCTGAGGACTGATACAGAAAATTCCAATACGTTTGAGGCGTCGCTGGGCGTATACAATGCCCGCTGTCATGGCGGCTGGTAGCGCCGGTGGCACAGTGATAGTGATGATGTCCAGAGACTCAATGATGATGGTCTTAGCTGGCACCTGCAGCAAATAGACCAGAAAAACTCAGGAAACTTTCGCATGTTTGATAATCACTTAACTTTAATCTCTCCTAACTCCTAACTGGTATGGATTCACAGTTCACTCACATTTATTTATTAAAAGGGCTGCTAAAATTCAGGTTTGAGAGTCAAATATGTGGCATTTCCCAACATAAGCTGTTGAGAGACACTTTTGAACTGAACAGTGTGGTACAGCAAAGTCTCTCTGATTGTTCATGTTAAAAACAAACCCAAAGCAAGGTCCCAAAACGGCTGATCCTCTAAGTCTGATGCTAATCTTACAAACAACTCTATAATCATACAACAAGTGTTACAGAGGCCGGAAAAATAATGTCTCAAACTGTTCATGGTCTACAGCACAAAGTGACTCAGAAATGTATTACCATGCTGTTTATTGTTGGAAAGGCTTTTGCAGTGGTGTACTGAGGGCTAAAAGACCAGTCAGTGAGTATCAGACTTAACAGAGGACAAGAAGGAGGACTCAAGTGGGCTGTTGTGCTCTTCTTTGCCATCATCAAAAAAAAAAATATGATGAACTGATCATGCATGTTACCGAGTTTGTTTTGTTATGTTTCTGCCCCCTAGTGGGCAAAATTCTCTTTAGTTCAGTTTTAGATTACCTTGTTCATGACGCTGAGGACGATAGAGTAGACAAAGCCAATTCCAGCCACAGCCACCAGACACAACAGGAAGAGGTAGGCATCACGGTACAGCTTGAAGTCGGTGGGTTTTGGGTAAAGGATGGAGCGCACCAGCTGGCCTTTGGCTGTGCTGAAACCTGTGTAAAGACATTTTTATGAGAAGTTGTGGGTAAAATGATAACACAGTAGCACATTTAAATATATATTCTTGGACACACAGCCCTACCTGTGCGGACCACCACAGCCTTGACCAGTTCGCCAGTGTAGAAGCGGGTCTGGATGACGTTGGTGCCACAGAAGAGGGTGTGTCTCTTATGTTCCTCTGTGTTGTAGGCACTGTCAGTCTCCTCCCCCCTCTCCCCTGGCACTGGGTTTGGGAGGTTGGTCTTCGTCACAGGAACGCTCTCACCTGATGGAGGGGTAGACTGATGTTAAGACTGAAGATTTACAGAAAAGGCATTGTGTTGGTCCTGTGGTCAGTTGTTGTTAGGTTTCTCTTTCCTGAGTAATCAGACAGAAATGTTCAGATTTCAGCTCTTACCTGTGAGCATGCTTTCATTGACGATGCAGGTGCCGCTGACCAGCACGGCGTCACATGGCATGATGGTCCCGTTGCTGGGGATGACCATCACATCACCGGGCACCAGGTCAGTAGACAAAATTTCTTCGATTTCTTCCAGTAAGAGGGGCGCAATGGAGGAGTGGAGAAAGTAAATGAGTGTGTTAAATTTAGACAGGTAGAGAGCAGTGTGAGTAACAAAATAAAATACAGAATATCATGAGTGTGGAGAAAGGTGAAAAGTGTGTAAATGAGCCAACAGTAGCAGATGGTGGATTGGGGGGGTGAGAAAGTAGATACTTTGTGTGTCAGAGCCCCAGAGTCTTGTTCAGCACATCTCTCATTACTCATGCTTCTCTAGGCAGCAGGAAAAAAGCTGAGGAATCACAAGCAGGGGCCAGTGCAGTACATAAATGTATATTCAAAAATGTGGTGTACCAACGTCCACAACAATGTTTAATTTAAATTTTGTCCTTTGGCCAACTCATGGAATTAATATCAAGCCCCCGTCTGACATACTCTCTCTTTCTCAGTCTGCCCTGTCCCACCCCAACAGCCATCTGGAGGACAGCCAAAGCAGGGTGACTGTCCCAGCACAGAAGCAGTAAAATGTCTACTGTCAGGTTTGGTTTGTAAAGCACTCTTTTAGAAAATAAGGGAACTGAATATAATAATACATGGTGTGTACTACTATTAAAATGACTCTACAGAGCCAATCTGCAAAAAAAAAAAAAAAAAAAAAAAAGGAAAAAAAAAAGACACAGAAACATAAAAATAAATTGACAAACCATTGTTGGCTCGGCATACAGACACACGGACAATACTGTGAGCTGCCACCATATCGTGAAGCATGATGTATTGCTGGAAAAAAGGAACAAAGAAAACAGATGAAAAACTTAAGACAGTTTCTTGATACCTGTGTGACTGTGAGGGTGTTTTCGTCTGAGTATGGGAACTGTGAAGCCAGGGGCAGCAGACCGTGTGCAGATGAGCCTTTATGCTATCCTAAAAACCCTGGATTAGACACGAGCGGGGTGGCGAGTGTGTCTGACATGACCTGCCCAAGCACAGGGGCTGTACCAGTAACATTACAAATTAATATAGTTAGTCCATCGGTTAGATTATTGTGTAGTTGCAGTACTGTGTCTTAAATATACAGTGTATAAGTTTGAACATAGAAGTTGCAGGTTCTGGTTGTGCAGAAAGGTTAATTAAAAATTGTAGTATGAGTTACCAAAACTTATAAGATTAATACAAACACACAGTATCTGCCCAACTTCACATGCTGTCTTATCAAAGTCTTATTCCATGGATAACATTTCGATTATGAAATATCTAATACGCTTACATTTTGACCTAATATGGACAAATCAACCTTAGCAACATCAGGACCTGTTGCTAGTGCATACCAAAAGGTGCAGCAAGCTACCATAAATGTGTCTTAACATGTGAATAAAACGTGCAAAACTCACAAATTGTGAAATACAAAGGGCAAAATTGCTGAACTCAAAGCCCTTGTGTAAACATGTGGCCCTAACTATGTAGTTGGATAAATGGCTCTGGATTGAGAAAAGAGTCTATTATATTTATAAATACTTTGTGGCGCTCACCTTTTTGATGGTGTACAGAGAGGTAGCTATGGATATGACCGACATGAAAACAATGGCCACAGCATAGTAGTAATACTCATCGGCACTCCACAGGATCACACTGAAGAGCTGGAAGATGTAGAAAGGGTTGAGGACCTGCAGGAGGAGACAGAGAGAGAGATTAGTGTGGCAAATGCAGAGGTGAGAGAATGAACATACAACAATAAACAGAGAAAAAAGGAAACAGGTGTCTACTTGAGGGTATAACCAAGACGTCAGTATAATCCCAATTTATAAGATGTACACTTATTAATGTAGCTATTAGTATTGTTACATTTTGTACACATGCTTTAGCAGTGTTTAAGGTGTAAGGGAATGATAAATTACATGTAATTAAGTGTAAAATAAAAAGTGCTTGAGGCAGAATGGTACTTTATACACATGCCCACTGGGTAATGTTACTACTTAAGAGTTATTCCAATGTGAGTTGTGACCCACATTACAGTGTTTGTCTGCAGGGAGCATTGCTGTTGTATTTACCCTCACGCAGCACTTCTCTTGTAGAAATATAGTAAGTAGATATCCCAAATATTTTCCTTTAACAAGTATGCACAAAAATGGGAAGGTCTCTATCTCTATGAGCTGGGAAATGGTAAAAAAAAAAAAATCTGATTACTCAATTGGTTATTAATTATCAAATGAATTGGCAACTATTTTGATAATCAATTAATTGATTATTTAAATGAAGTAAGTCATTTTAAAGAAAAACAATTCCAAATTATCAAATTTCAGCTTCTCAAATGTGATATTTTCTGGTTTCTTCAGTCTTCTCTAAAAGTAAACTAAATATCTTTGAGTTGGGGACAAAACAAGACATGTGAGGATGTCACCCTGGGCTTTGGGAAAGAGTGAACAAACAACTAATCAATTAATCGAGAAAATGATGACAGATAAGATGACAGATTAACTGATAATAATAAAATAATCGTTAGTTGTAGCCCTACAGGACACACTGAGTTAGATTGACATGTTATCTCCACACCCTTTGATGGCACCGTTTCTTGGAAGTAAGGCTGCAAATAACAATTTGTTTTCATCATCTATTAATCTAAAGATTATTTGTCCAATTAATTATTTAATTGTTTGATATATAAGATCACAGAAAATTGTGAAAATAAATTAAAATCGTTACTCAAACTTCAAAAAGATGAAATATTTGAACTGCTTGCTTTGTCCAAACAAAATGTATGCCAAAAGCCATATCACAGGCATCGGCTTAATGTTGGCATAAGAAACTGGAATGGGAGAAAATGGGATGAGCACACAAGTTGACAAGGTGTCTTTCATTCAAGGACAATTCAAACTTGAGTTAAAGAAAATGCTGCCTCTGTTAATGCAAACTGGTCCCCACCTCTTTGATAAGCAGCTTGAAAACAGAAGGCACTTTCACTGCAATTTCATTCACTCCGAAGAACAGTCTCCTGACAAGAGGTGAAAGAGACATTCATGAGTCAAGTGTTGTAAACCAGACCTTCATATTTCATATCTAAACACACACAAACACGCACACTTACACAACAATGTAGTAATAAGGTTAAAAGTACATAGCTTTTCATTCTAAACAATATTACCAGATGATTTCACTGATTAGATACAGCAGAATAATATGGCCCTCCTCCTGCCTGTCCTTCAGACAGGTGAGATGTTACCTGTACTCCTGCTGGTTCCTAGTCAGGCCTGCACTGTGCTCCGAGTGGAGGGTGGAGCAGCTGACCTGCAGATCCTCCATGCCGCTATAGAGGTAAAGTAGGTCAAAGCAGGGAACAAAGTCAATTTTCTTTTACGACTTTTAATTAAAAATAACAGTGCCAGCAATGCAAGTTAAATGTATACTAAAGCTTTAAATGTAAAGGGTTGTTTTGCACCTTTTACTTATTTAATTGTTATACTGTCCACATACTGCCAGATAAAACCCTTTAATCCCCAGTTAAGCTTACTGTAAGGGAAAGTCAAAACTGATAGATCATTAAAAAATGCTTACTTTAAAACTTCAAAGTTCTGCATCTCGTCGTTCCAGTAATACTTTGTGCTATGGAAGGTAAAGTAGCGAATCTGAGGGAAATTAGGGGAGGGGCAGAGGGAAGAAGCAAAGTTGATTAGATTTTATATAGTTGAATAGATTTTGACACATGTCAGCCTTACTGTATTGTTGTCCACACACTTAAAGGCAGGAAACAAAGTACATTTAAAAGGAAGAACAAAAATAAGAGGTGATGACAGATGACAAGTGAAACACTTTGACAACTTGCACCATATAAAATGCCAATTACGTAAATTTGAATATATGGATCAGTGGAGGAAATGACATTATATTTGTATTGTGGTTGTTTATTGTGAGGGTAAGGTGTCACATAATGAATGTGGTCAATGAAAAGTACTGCCAAGGGGAGCAAGGCAAATGAGTGCATGTGTCTAAGACAGAGAAAAAGAAGGGCCAAGGGAGTGTTAGGTTTTACATTTTTTTTATATATCACTATCGTAACATAATTATAGAGTCTCATTACACATTTAAAAATGGCAACCCATCTACTAAGTTTGAAACACATCCACTGATAGGTGGTTGCCAGTCTCACAGCTAGTTTGTGCCATCAATGGGGTGTGTGTGTGTGTGTGTGTGTGTGTGTGTGTGTGTGTGTGTGTGTGTGTGTGTGTGTGTGTGTGTGTGTGTGTACGTGTGTGTGTGTAAATCCAGTATAATGTGGAGAGGGGCACCTACCTGTGTGGGCTGGTAGTCGGCATATCTTCTGATGAGCTCCTGAGCGGGGCTGCCATCGGAGGGGTGAGAGGTATGTCCGTTGGCCAGAGGGGGAGAGGCGGGGGAGGAGAAGGGGCAGGAGGGAGAGGAAGGGGAGGAGGGGGAGGTGGTCTGGGTCTCCAGGCTGTGGAAGGGGTTGCTCCCCGGGGCCAGCATCACTCGCACCCTGGCCAGGAACCAGCGCCGGAACTCATCCTAGCCAAACAAATACACAGTTGTAATGCTAGACTTTTAAGGGCCTTCAGTCATTAACTCCACAACTCCTCTTCCATTCCTAACTACATATCAACATTTATTCTGCTGTCTTTAGTACATTTCTTTCAGGACATCTGGTCTGTTGTCAAATATTTATACCATACCGTATCCACCTTAAAATACTGAGCTGCATTTGGTGCTTGGCAGGTGCAGACCATGCCTTACCACACCTAATCCATACTCTTACCCTAACCAAACTCTTATTCCTGAACAAGCCTCTTTAAGAAGTGGCTAAATATTTACAGTTGAAGGTTGTTCCTAACACGGTCAAGGTTGAATGCAAACACATGCACACGAGCATGAGACCAACAGAGAGAGAAAGGAATGCAGACACATACAAACATACAAGTGAATGTTACAGACACATTGTTGGACACATGGTAAATTATCTGTACATTCCTGCTGGTGTGACTGTCTGTATGAATCAGTCAGTCTCAATGTATTTACTGTGCTACTACAATACATCAGTTGTATTCGCTCACAGCTTTATAACCACATGAGCTTGAGGCAACGACCTACTTTTTAACAAACAATTTAAATAGTTTAAATGTAAAACCTCAGCTTAGCTTGCTACAAGGGCTTCAAAATCTTAATTGTTTAGTCTATAAAATGTTCCAAAAATGTGGGGGAAAAAAAACATTCACTGAACTGAGTATTTAGCATTTTTAACAAAATGAAAATGAAAAAATAAGAGATTAATCAAATACCCAAGCAGTTCAATTTTCTGTTGATCGACTAATTGATAAATAATTGCAGCTCTACTTGCAACCTACCGTGGAGCGCATCAATACCACTTCGGCATCACGGGCTGTGGTACGGGTGCAGGTGGATTTGACGCACCACTCTGGCATCCAGTAGAGCAGCAGGAGGAGGAAGCCCCCTGTACACAGCACCCCAAGGCCCACCAGGGCCAGCCGCCAACGACAAAGACGGTAGCCCTGCAGCTCCTAAAAGGTGGAGGGAGAAAAGAGGGGGCAGTCTGATTAGTCAGAAAGCACAAATACCGACACTGGCACTGATGTAAAACGAAAAAATAGACATACCATCTCCTCCTCTTCCCCTTTGTTGAGGACCTTCAGGTCTTCCTTCTCCATGCTGCAGAACAGTTTGCCAAGCCCCTCCCTTAGTCACTGCAAACACAACAGACAAAATGTCAGGGTGAACAGTGTGGGAAAACATTTCAGCTCCACAACAGCCTATCAAAATAGTGGCTCAACACCAGAGGGTCAGTCACCCGAGGCAGGGTCACAAGATGCTTTCTAGGGATATGATTCAAAAGAGCATTGTATGGAAAATGCTGTGTATTTGTCATTTGCAACATGTCATGATGCAAAATAACCTGAAAAGGAAAAAAAGAAACCCATATCATCACCATTCACTGTTTTTATTTTATGCAGTTAACTCATGCATGCACTACAAATAACTTCATAGTTGGGGTTTATAAACTGAAAGAATTGGGAACCATTACTGTGCAGCCAATTACCATGTAATCTGGTATCAAAATCTAGTGGAAAAAGTGCTGGGGGGGAAAGGAGGGGAGTGACTTGGGTGGCACTGGTAACCCTTGAAATCGGATTAGCCAGCCTTGCCTCCACCGCAAACACATGAAACTGGTTATTTAAGACTAACACGCTGAAATGATCTAAAATGTAAGACTGCATTATTTTAAATAACGAAATCAACTTTAATCTGAATGAAGAAGAAAGACATCACCATCTCTGAGCAAACTGCTTAAATGTGCTTATTTGAGGATACTGAACAATGAACAATCATTCGTCATGTACTCATAATCTCAATATTAAGAAATTTGTTTTGGAAATAATTGCATTGACTTGATACTTTACTAACATACCTGAATTTGGAAGAGATCAGTTTTTTGTGTTTGGGGTAACATAGTGACTAAACTGTAATGGATGAAAAAAGGTTTTTGTTGCTGCACAACACGTTTCTACCAACGAGGACTGATTCCCCTCCTCTCCCCAAGAAAAGAAAGGGGGAGACAGGGCGCCTGAACGGGGGTGAGAGAGGCGACATTTCCCAGGACTAGATTATCATACAGTCCTTTTACACATAACATTTCTATAATGCGGACCTACTGATGTGCATTTAACCCACGTTTGACCTGTTCATATTAGTCAGATGTCAGAGTGAGGAGATGGTCCAGCTATAATGCAAGACTTGTCTCTAGTTAGTAAAGATTCCAGTCTGCAGCGTAGTTCACACTACATTCAACAGTAAGTAAGAAACAGTAAGAAAGTTTCACCCTCAAAACTTCAATATGTAAAGTGCTGTCATTCAGTATATAAGCTGTGGCGACCCTTGCTGTTGCCTGTTCAGCAGTGATCTTATAATTGACCTCACTACTGACAGGTTGGTCATCAGTGCCTTCTGGTAACACCTGGGCCCAGCGTTCCCAGCCTATAAAATCCAGGCCCTGTTATTCTCTCTCTCCCTCTCTCTCCCTCCCTGCAGGCACTCCTCTGGTTATGTGGAGGTGTTAGTTCCTCCCTGGTTCCCTTTGGTTTATTTTATGCATTTTAAAAACAGTCACACACGATTCTTACCCCCAGTGCACACCCTACACTGATGTTTTGTTACTTTTGTTTAATAAATTACTTCTTACTATCTTATCATTGAAATGGTGCATCTCCAACTTTTTCATTGCCTGCAATTGACAGCAAAGATATAGGACTGTCGGAGCAGGAGCCTTACAATTGTGTATTTGACAATATTACAATATCCAAAATATGATATTTTGAGTTTTGTCTAATCCATTTATAGATGTTTCTCAGCAGAAAACATAAAAAAAATCACAGGCAGTCTTTTATTGAAAACAATAACAACCAAATGCAGCTCAACAACAATACAGCTAAATTGATCTGGTGGTTAAAATGTCCGGTAAACACGATTTGTTTGTGCTGTTTATAAGAGCATTGGCTCAGTGAGTGAAATGCAATCTTACAACAGTTTTTGAGCTGTTAATATTAGTCAGTAGGCAGGGATCAAAATGTTTGTCTTAACTCTGGTAAAAACCTGTTTAACCAAAATGTGAACTCTTAACTGTCTGTGGGTAAAGAGCTATAATAAGATATTAGCGCCTGTGGATACAAAGTGCAGGATGTCTAACAGAGGTCAGTAGTTCATGGGACCACATGTGATACGCTCCAACTACAAGAATGCACAGCTCTTCCCAGACAACTGCTATACCTCACAACACCTGAGATTATCTCTTAAGAGTGTCACACACCCACACACTGACCAACTGAGTCATCAGATATGTGTGCTACCCAATATCGAGTTCATCCCCATTTCCTCCTCTCAGTTGTCCCAGAGGACTAACCAGCTGCCAAGGAAGGCATGCTGTCAGTTTGTGTGTTTGTTGTGTGTGTGTGTGTGTGTGTGTGTGTGTGTGTGTGTGTGTGTGTGTGTGAGATTGGTGCATTGATATTGACTAAGAGGGGCACCTAGGTCAAAAGATGAACAGGTGCTTGGAAATATGAGTTAGGCTGCAGACAGTCTGTCTGTTGTCAACATCAACTACAGCAGGTTAATTTGCCTTTCTGTTGCACATGTATTGTATTGAGTTACAGAGAAAAACAGTGAAGCTGGATGTGTGTAAAGTCAAACTGAGTAAGTAGTATGACAGAGAGGTTAATTAGGCTACTGGCTTCAAGGTCTGTAGCTGGTAATCAATTGGTCAATCAGGCACACTCAGGACATCACTGGAGCCTCTTGGGGAACTGAAAACAGACATGCCTTTGGCAGAGCAAGTTTTTACATCAAATGTAAAGGGGGCACAAAACAGAAAGACCACACACACAAATAAAAAAATATTCAAAAACCACATGAAGTGACGTAAACACAGGGAAAGTTTGAACACTATGACCCCAGCTGTCACTGAGGAGCGCTGGCATGGTGTGTCAGGGAACGGTGCCCACAGGGCCACCATGCTATTGCCCCAACCACCCTACAACGCCCACTGATCCTGTATTTACTGCCCCCCACACTCCGATTTTATCTGCCAGCTGCACCCGGGTGGACTTTTTCTCTGGCATACAGCGGGATATTTTGCTTAGGACCAAGCCCTTCCTACTATTTTACAATAGCAGCCCCCTGGCCGGCGCTAGGCTGTGGGTGCAGTGCAACAAGAACATTCCCTCCCAAATCTCTGCAAAGACTGGAAATACCGACACCAGTGTATCATGGACACACTCTTTTGCAAGATTGCTGTCCGGGTATGACTCACAGATAACACACCACTGAAAACAGCACCCAAAAAAGATTCAGAAGTATTAAGCCTACGCACTGGAACAATAAGATAGTTGCTTATAATAAAATTATCTGTTAATAAGGGTTGTAACCACCAAAAACATGCAGGGTTCCATAATTACAGGCTCCAAAACAGACAACAGACCAAAGTTAACTGGTTACTGAGAAGCAAGACATGTTAACTCTGTTCACGCAAGTACCAATATATTACATGTTAACTGAGGCTGGTGACAAATTAAGTTATACTTTCATTCAGGTGCACTTGTGTAGAGCAGGGATGAGGAACACTTTGGTGAAAAAACATAATTAGTTCAAGCTCAGTTTCGAGTTGGTTGGGGTTGTCCTACCTTGAGAGCCAGGGACACGTTGCCCCAGGCGGTCCTCCTCCCCGCAATTAGCTTGCTCTCTCACCACACCAACCTGGAACCCTGGGGAGGTTTAAAAAAAAATATGCACATTACAAATAAAGCTTTCCAGCACCTCAAGTTTTTCCACCAAATTGACTATGACGAACAGCAGGTTAAATGGGAGAGTTTCACAAAACAGTAACATATCTTTCCAAGGAAAAAACAATAACGGTTAATGAATTGCAGCAGAAGAACTTGTGAAACCCATGTGTAAAAGCACATACCAAGGTGTTCACTGGTGTACATTTTTACTAGATTGGACTCTCTTTTGAGTAAGGATGGAACAAGGTAACGTGTTTGAGACAAATTATGAAAATCTGTTCAATTTAAGTTGCCCATGGGCAACCACATTCGGACCACTGACAGTGATTTCATTTGGTCTGATCCCCCTACTTAAACTCCTTTTTAAAAAGAGATAAAGAGAAATTAAATGGGAATTGTTTGAAGCTCAGTTTGAAGTCAACAGCACAATGGATAACCCCACAAGATTATCAATACTGAGATCTTGTCCATACTAATGCAGATTTTAGGATCTCATGCATTAGAAAATATCACACAGGACGGTGAGTGAAATGTTGTCCCATCATCTCAAGTTCAGATTTATATGATCCTTTTCCCACCAACTCCTGTGAACTAATCGTGGCCTGTGCCTGACGATTCACACTTCACTCCAAGTAACTAGTTCCAACAGTGACTGAAGACCCTAGTACTGTAGGTATCAACATGATAAGCATTGCATGAGGTTATGAGAAAACATGAACTCATGCTGAGACGGTTGCAGTATATGAAAGAACTGTCAGATGACTGCTGCTGACTCCCATCCAGTCATGAGGCTTGGTGTTCCTGTCCCGGCCCAATGCTAATGACATAATATAATAAATCTCCCACCCAAGCTGCAACCTCTGTGTAAATGAAGCCAACATGGATGTGCCATAACTGCAGGTCCTTAAATGGCCACTTGCTGTGGCTACAGAAATGGGTCGATCTCCATAAGGCCCCATGGTAAAATGTCCAACTTTCCAGCAGAAATAAACACGTTTTTTAAATTTCCATATAACTCACCGGTTTAAATTATATCAAGGCTTAAAGTTATGCATAATTAAGGGAAGGCGGGTGTCATCACAGTCAGCTGTTTTCAGTAACCAGGCTTCGTTCAACCAGCCTCAGCTCCACCCATGCGGTATGTCTTCGGCCATTTTTGGATTAGCCGGGAGCCGGCGGAGTCAAGAATGCCAAGATGGCGCCGGCCAGAGACACCACACTTTGAGCTTCTAAATTTCTCTTCAGAAATCACCTATGGATAATTAAATGGAGACGACATCCATTTTTAATTACAGATGCTCCCACAGCTGGCTGTTTCCCACTGGAAAAAAGTAGCAAAACAAACAAACAAACAAACAAAAAACCTGCACAGCAACAACAGAGTTATGCCTCTTGTTGTGAATACAAGGATGACAGAAGAAACCAGTGTTTTTAATGGAGAACACACGACCCTGCTAGGGCCTCTAAGAGCCAGCATGACTTCAGAGATATTTATAGATTTCTCCAGCCCAGCCTAAAGCCACATTGTTGTCTCTGATTTGATTAGTCTGCTATTGTATTAATAAGCAAAAGCTGGCTTGGGAAAAAAAAACAAATGAGGAAGCTGTTGACTTTTTTTTTTTTTTTTTTCAAACTACAAGATTAAACATGACGATCATCAGTGTTCCTGGAAAGAAACTTTATGATGTCAAAAAAGAAATCCAGTGAGTATGTTTATCAAACCACAACAACAGGTAGAAACATGTACAGCTATTTGAGTCCAAAACAAGATCTGATTCTACAATCAAACATAGCTTTTATACCACCCATTGGCATGTGTATTATGTGGTGATTATATACAGAGACAAAATTCATTCATTTATTTGACTGTGCTGTGAGCTCTCTGACATAATTCATCAACTGCTTTCAACCTACGCTGATTTACATTAGCAAATGGACCTTTAACAAACATGTCATACACAGAAGTAATGCTTGTACAACTGTGGGACTAAGGCTACAACCCAAAGATATTTTCTTCATTGTTTAATCTGGTGATTATTTTCACAATGTCCATCACAATATATCTACCATGGCATTTGAAATGCTGGATCCAGAAAATGTTTGACAATTTTAGCATAATTTTACAGTCTTGCTTCCGGTTCTGTACATGCATGGTAGGAGGAAGAAGTGTCTCAATAAGTTAAGACCACTTGAGTCACTTTGAGTGAAATTAAGCCATTTACACAAGACACATTACATATTTCACAAGAACCTGAACATGAGCAAAGCAAAAGTATACAAATAAATAAGCTAAGACCAGACATATTCTCCTTTCCCTTTCTGTCCTGTTCTTCAACACAGACAAAAAGGAAAAAGTGAACAATGAGCCATGACCTAATGACAGAAGTGTATAATTCGTGGAAGCATTTGGAGGAAAAAGTGTTTTGTTGCCATCATGAGCTGCACTCAATGTGCTTTCTTTATCACTTCCCCTCCTACTCATGGGGTATAATAGCCAAGCTTTGTTCCCAATCATGGGCCAATCAAGCTGTTTATCACTGTGGCCACCGGCCCCACTGAAAATCTATGACCACCTGCCCTTCCACTGCTGTCTGAACAGCTAAAAACTCTTCCTCAGCCACTTTTAAGAGATAACTTGCCACAGGAGAAAATGTTTTCTATTTTAAATTACGTTCATGCATACAAACCTGTAGGATGTGGCAATAACCACTTCCAGTTTCACAATTAGTGATAAAAAAGGCAAACAGGGCAGATACACAGTTTGTTATGAATAGTTTCCTGCCTCTCAAAAGTTAAACTCTGTTCAACATTTTTGAAATACGCATCACCTAGTCAAACTCACCTATCGATGCACCCAAACATCCACACCTCTAATCCAGAGAATCGGCCTTAAAATGCATCAGTGTATGTTTTGAGATGACATACGCACACACTTGGGATCACTACCAAGTGACAAGAAGTGCTGACATTACAGACTATACTATGATTAATGCAGAGGCGAAACATGGGATCAAGAGAGTGGAGGAGGACAAAAAGAGATCTACAAGGACTGAGTCTGTATGTGAGCTCCAATCGTGTGAAAAACCTATGAGGAGAAAAATGGAGGGAAAGGGCTGGGAAAAAAAAACAATAATCCAACAGATCAAAAGTGTGCTGAGTTTTAAGTCAAACCACATGCTCTTGGATTAACTGACTGGCATTTCTTGACAGACTAAAAAACTGCCACTGTGCAAGAGATCAAAACACATTTTTACTTCATTGAGCAGTTTATTGGTACATAATGACCCTGGATTAGAAATGCTTTTATATGGATGTAACAGCTTAGGGCTGCAAATAACGATTATTTTCAATCTCAATTAATCTGTCAATTTATCATTCTCTCTAGGGCTACAGCTATCCATTATTTTAGTGAACAAGTATTCTTACTGATTACTCTATACATCTTTTTTTAAATTTTAAATATACAAAAAGAGAAAAAACAACAACAAATAAACTAATTGGTTTGTGTTTCCTCTAGAAGAAGAAAAAGAAGAAGAAGAAGAAGAAGGGGGAAAAGGCTTCTGTTGTAACCCCACCGTACTAATGGAGTATTTTCCTTTCTCCATCTCTGGTTAGCACAGCCACATGACTGGACCTGTGTGTTACAGTCCGATCCTTCCCCTCTGAAGAAGGTGGAGTCCTGCGGGTTTGTTGTCAAAGTATTTTCTGGAGTGTGAGGGGTTTGCATTAATTTAGTCAGCCATAAAGTGTGTAGATAAGCTCAGGTTGTGGTATAATGGTTACTGAAAGGCTGTGTCTTGTGTTTGCTAATAGATAATAATTAAAAAGTCCTAGTTTATCTAACGTTATCACAGTGCCTTTTGGACTCTTCACAGCAATGTTGTCAGACTATGAACAACTCAGTCAGCTAGTTAGCAGCTACCAGTCAGGCTACAATTAAAATAGCCTAAACAGGAGGTCTTCCAAATACGTTTGTTTGCTCTTGATTTGTAGTTGCCTAGCTCTTAATAGGCGTTGTACTATTGTGGTAGGCTAGTTTGGTTTTACAACAGTCACACAGAGTTTTTGTTTTGTTTCAGCTTGAAATGACTCCAAACTTTGGACACTTTCTGTGGGTTTCTCTGGCCTGTCTCTCCTCTTTGGCCTTCACTTTTTTCTCTCTCCATCATCTCTCCAACATCCTCAAATGTCTTGTTTTGTCCACAACCCAGAGACAGACAGCTTACTCTCAGAGGACTAAAGAAACACAAAAACATTTAAGAGTTCAAAGTTTGTTTATTTCATGAGCAAAATTAAGTTTTAACTGTCCTATCTGTAGTAGGGAAAACCAAGATGAAAGATACAAATTATTTATTGCAATCACATATAAAGGTAATAGGTGAGGCAAATAAATATAATTCAGTGTCCTCCGTGCCTGATCTCAATCAAACATGGCCCTGAAATATCTCATGTTCCTGTGTAGCCCGATACAGACTTAAGACGCTTTCAGGCAGAGGATACCTTTTCACTACTAGTGCCTGGCACAACAGTAGGGTGGTGTGATATCATGCTACAAGCAACAAATGTTTAGCTGGGTCATTGCTGTAATGCCAGATGGATTAGTGGTGTCAAAGGCAACTGTGGTGTCATCGGTTTTGCAGTTTTTTTCCAGGTGTTTGAAACAGTACTGTAAAAATGCTCCATGATCATCATCAGGAGTAACATTTTAAGGAGGGACCCATCCAGAGCTCCGTCATCAGCTTTCTGTCAAAGACTGCCTCTGACAGCAATTCAACATGCTGAATCTTCCAAACAGCTGTTGATAAGGGCGAGTTATAGCCAACAGAGCAGGACACCTCACAAAACCTGTGAACAACTTCTGTACATGTCCCAACAGCACCTGACAACACACGCCAGCATCTTTAGGGATGTAGTCAAAATGTTCTTGCACAAGGACTGCGGACTGAAAAGAGACAGTACGAGATTTAAAGATAAAATCGGTAGGGACCTGGCTGTGCAAAGCCTTATCAGTAAAGGCTTAAAATCAAATCATAAAAAAATTAGTATGCGAGACGCTAGATAGTACCGACTTATACTACGATTTCAAATCAGTTAGGGAATTTCAATCAGCAATGACCTCAGTCCATCTGCAATGCCCAATATATTCGTCTAATTGCACAACTCCATTCTCAGGTTTGCGCTACGGTGTCAAATTTCACAGTTGTTTCTATTTTCATTTGAAGTGTTTCATTTCACTTCCACTGATGCGGGCCCCTAGTTCTGGTCTTGTTGGAGGCAAACCGCTATATCGGCACTAGAAAGATCTGTTTCTCTATCACGCTGCTCAGGGGCTCCCACACCAAACAGTGCTGGGCTGCTGAGAGGACTTTTACCATGTCAGGATATTTCTCATCTCCACTCTGAATCAACACTGGCAGGCCTTCCATCACAGGCTGCTGTCTTAAAGCTCACCTGTGAAAAGTCCTGAGGCATTGGCTCAAAGGTCTGTGGAACATTGGCGCCTCGCTTCTTAAATGGAGACTACACTGCTTCCAAATCCAGTTTGGACAAGACCTCAAGCTCTCTAACAGAGAGTAGTTAAGTTCAAAGGTGAAAGGGGCAAGTTCAATTCCTTAACTCTGGGAATCCAGATGAGCACACATGTGTAACATGGACTAAGCAAGGTAAACTCTTTATGGTGCTCACATGACGCCAGATACTGTGAAAAGGTTGTTCTTTTTAAACAATTAAACTCATCCAGAAGCTTCAAGTCAAACTTTCTACATTTGTCTTAATTCAAGTATAAAGCAAGCAAAGCATAAACACAGACTGCTACCTGGTCCCAGGACAGGCCTTATCGGACTTAGTGGACAAAGTAACCATAATAAAAAGCAGACGGACACAGATCTTGAAACAGTCTGGCTAATCTCTTATTAGCTGACTTAATACCAACAGAAGAAGTAGCCACTTAAAGTACGTGGTAGAGCTGCAATGATTAGTCAATTAATCAATTAGCTGATTAACAGAAAAATAATCAGCAACTATTCTGTTAATCATTTAAGTCATTTTTCAAGCAAAAAAAACAAAAAAACTAACCATGTTAAGCTTAAAAGACATACACTTGTGTGTCACGCCAATTACCAATCCCGACTTTTTTCTACAAATCAAATCTATATGTTTTTCATTTGCATGCCTAATTACGTATAATCCCAATAGGCACACATTCAAATCACTATTTCTCTCAGGCTGCTGTTTTATCATGCGCTCTCATCTTTCAAAATAGGTATATGAAGCTTTGGCAGACAACAAAGTAAACAAATGAATTAAAATAATTAAAACAAAATTGTCATAGATTTAATTTTCAACTGTTTCCAACTCACTCTAGTTTTAACTGAAGCTTTCAAAAAAGACACCAGTCAGTGAAAGCTGAAATAGTCTCCTTACACAAATTGTGAAATGAGAGCACTTGTTGACTAACCAGTAGGGTATCTCTCTGACTGCTGTGCATACAAGTCTTGAATTTATCACAAATGTTGCTAAATTATGTTAAGAAAATGACTCATTTTACCAGTAATACTCATGAAAATAACAAAATGCATCACTGGGGCATTGTATTCAGGCAGTGGTTCCAGCTCATCCTGATCTTTTGTAACATGAGGGTTAAAATAATATAGAAAAGTCTGCATATCACCTCTGAGTCCTACATTGTGTGGTTGAAGGCCAGGTGTGAGTGGGACACTTTTGTTCACATGGACTGTAAGAACAACAACGGATCACTGTGTATGTAGATATCACTCCTCTTAACTCAAAGTTCAAATTCTCATTCAAGCCACACAAACTAATTATCTCCTAAGCCTCACCGTGGCAGCATAGAAGACTCCCAGTGTCTCTGTTAATGTATAAACAGGAAAGTGAATAGACAATGAATATTGCTCTGTATGATCTGTATTTGTGCTACACAAATAAACTTGAAAACATTCAGGATATTTTGAAATTGACCTGGTATGGCTAAATAAAGCCCAATCCCTTTCTGATCCTTTGTTCACTGAAACCTTCTGTGGATCGGGTATGCCAACCATGATGTGGCACAAATACCAGTAAATAAATAGCAACCAGAAGGCAAAATGAATGACATCCAGGCTGACAGCGTGCAGACACAAGCAATACGAACACAGATGTATCTAAATCTCCAACATATACGATACACCAGTATTCACAATAGAATTCATTCCTTTTTCCATGACAATTAAAAAGTTGTGTAAAGTTGAATGGACATCCGTGTATAATTAAGGGTTGACGAGTGATTTTAGACACCTGTGCCTGGTATGTCAATAGAGCTTTTTCACAGCAGCCATTCTGACACAAAACAGTAGGGTAAACACAGGTGTTACCAATGATACTAATGAAGTTTCCATTCAACTCAGTGTAGCAGAGCTTTTCCAGTGACCCAACACAAACATTAGCAGCACCCTGACTCAGTTTGACCTGAGTGGAGAACAAAACCTCATGAAGACAAAGCAATATTACAAACACATCTTCTAAAAGGTAATTGTAAAGTACCAATTAACAGAAGAATACAAAAAAGGCACTGTGCAATATTCCATTTGGCCGTTCCATTTTGTTAACATTGGCCTTATCGTACTTCAGTTAACATTCAAAGACCCTCAAACATTGTGTGTCGGTGTGTAAGAAGACCACTTGTGAGGGAGTCCACAAAGAGGCCTAGGGCACCTCTGATGGAGCGACAGGAAGGAGCCACTGGATCATAGACATTGTGCATACAACAGCTCCTACCCTGGTGCTTCACCAGCCCCAGCTTTAGGGTAGATAGTCAAAGATACAGGAACAGTTGAAAATAACTCACATGATATCTCATTTCCCAGAAGGCTCGTGGGAGATTCTGAAATAAAGTGTAGTGGTAAAGTCAGAGTCCAGACCTCAATTAAATTGAGAAATTGTGGAGGACTTGAAAATGACTGTTCACTCATGTCCCAGCTGCAATTTGACACAGAAAGTGAAGTGAAGATGTGCAAAAACTTGTACACAAGACAAAAGGAGGCTCTACTTAATACTGAATCGTGCAATCAATTAGTTTGTGTTTTAAAGAAAAGATTTGGTTCAATCAAATTAATATTTCTTAATCCTCAATTAACTTAATTAATTTCCTCATATTATGAGCATTAGGTTTACTGTAGCAGCAGGAACACAAGGTACAGGTTACTGTGACTAGATCGTTCAGTCAGGGGTAAGCCAGTCACTCCCTGATTGAAAAACGTTCTCATACTGTTTACTGGTGCTACGTTGGGCCTTGTTTCACCAATTACTGTTACTCTTGTTGATGACTAGTTTTGACTTCTACATACATTCACGCAGCACATAACAAAGACTGAAAGTCAAACACCTTTGTGTATAATAGCCTGAAAAAAGATTTCCAATACATTAGAAGAATTAGAACAGAGGCCGCCATGTTGAACTACCAAGTTTCTACAGTAGCACAGATCCGACAAACCAAACACATCTTTTGCGAGTGTCGTGGCCAACGTAGTTTCTCCAACACACTTGGAAAGCTGAGCTGTATTCAAATAGTTTCAATCTGCAACTTCACCGCTAGATGCCACTGAATCATACACACTGGTCCTATAAGATTTAAATAATTGTAAGAATGAATGACACTAGCCAGCCACACCTGACTCCACAGTAAACAGGTCCAGCTTTATTTCCCCTACTTCTATGTCAGTTTTAAGATAATTTCTCAGTATATGGTCCAATTTCAGAAACTCAAATTTGTTTGTAACATTTCATTTATGTTGTATTGGTGTCTTACGTGCAGATAAAAAGCATTGGCGCAGGGGGAAAACACATTTTGTCTGAGAAGGACATGCGCTTCTCGGGGATACACTGGTTATATTCATGCTCATGAATTAAATGAACAGTAGCAAAGCAGCTAATAACATCCAGGTGATTTAATGTTGTAAAACAATCACACAAAAGGCATAGTCTTTACATGTGAATGACACATTTGTTATGTAAAGTATGTCAACTAAATGTTCTCATTCAACTGAAGTTCTGGCAGCTGTTTTTAATGCGTGTATGATGAAACTCAGAGTTATTGGTGTCTTCATTAACCTGAACTTGACTTGAATTCCCACTGAAATAACAAAACCCTCAGTTCTTCCTCCAGTGAGGCAGACCACAGTGACAGGTGTTTTAAGAGGAATGAGGGGAAAAAGCTAACAGTGTGTTGCCTGAACACAGTTACAGCTTTAACTATGGTATTCTTTACCGAAATGAAATGACTACCTACACTAAATGAAAAGTAACTCCAGTGGTTGGTAGCAACCACCCCCAACGACAGAAAAGTAAGTCTTAAGCCAATTATGGACCACAGATCTTCAATCTGAAAGGTCTACATTGTGATAGAGGTGGTGTTTTCGTTGGTTTAGGTTAGGTACATCGTTCACAAGCTTATATGAACGACATCCCTACATTGGCAAGCTCTAAATCCCCCCCCCCAAATTGCTGACCATGAATCATGGCTACAAGCCTCAGGCAGTGCTTCATTTGGGAATACGGGAAGACGTCGCTGGATGACGGCTAGCTGGCTAACGTTAGCAAAGCTTCATTGTTAGCCAGCTAATTGATGAGTAGCTTAATAGCAACGTCCATGTGTCTTTCACCGGTGATCACGCTTTCGGTTTCAGGTCCGGTTGAAGCGCAACGATGTTTCACTAGCATCGGTTTTCCCCCCGCCACACACACACACACACACACACACCCATCAGCTAGCCACCGTTAGCTTTCGCTGCGCTAGGTAGCCACTGACACATGGGTGATGATGACAGCGATGTTAAGAGCAACATATTTCAGAATAACACACTCACCCAGAACCACCTGGACACTCTGAAGATCACCTTCGAGTCATAGTGAGACGAGAGCAGCTGTTATCTGAAGGAAAACGTCGTTGAAGAGAAGAATGGACTAAGTTTAATAGAAAAATGTTGTCGCAAGCAGACAGGCAAGAGTGTGTGTCTGCTGTGTGTTGACAGCTCAGTGGGACAGACTGAGTACTACAGCAGTAGTGAACTGGCCTGAACTGGCTGTCTGATGGCAGGAAGTGACATCACAGGAGGACTACGCAAGGTGAACAGCGCCCTCCCCCCCCCTCACTGTGAAGTAAATATTATTATTGTTATTTTTACTATTCCGGGGCTTGGGGAGTAACGGATTACAAGTAAGTGAGTTAATCAGGATGCAAAAAAAATTTGTAATGTAAGAGAAATTGTTTATTTAGCAGGATTGCAATTTTAAATCAGTTAAGTACACATGTATGATGATCTCTCTCTTTAAAGGTTACATTGTTCTGTTGTCTTGTACACTTGCATCAATACTTCAGATTGACATTTCTTTTCTCTGTGTTTTTATTTACATATTTGGTGTTGAGGTCATGCAAAAGTAACGGAAAGTGATCAAGTAACATTACTTTAATATTGTGATTCATGGATACTGACAGGTAAGTAGTAATTGTATTGGATTACATTTTTAAAGTAACCCTGCCAGCCTTGTTATTAATACAGCCATAAAGGGCTCTCTCACTCTCATGTGTCGCAGCTTTGAATGACCACAAAATGGCACATGATGGTGAGGTCATAATAATGATCCATACTTGGTTATAGCTCAGTAGGACGCAAGGACAAAAATAGCACATTATAAGGAAGTACTGGTTAGGAAAGTGGTCATTATCATGACTGGATTATGAAATAGGCTAAGCAGTTAACATCTCTGGGGCCCCAGACTTTCATACACGTAGAAGTTCTTGGTAGTTTGGTTAATTGCAGCTTTATCACAAATGTTACAAATTTACACAATTTAAGCACAATATCAACTTTAAATGTGGTACTGTCTTGTAGAGGGACCCTGAGTCTAAAACCTAATTTCAAGACCTTTTATTATTTTAGTTAATATTGTGCTCACATGTTGCCCTGGGGCTCACAAAAAGGTAATCCAGCCATGGTCATTAAACACAATTACAAACATCTAAGTGCACCCTTAAGTGCTAGATCATAAAACTCTCCAATGATACCTTATACAAAATATCCCAACAATTAGTCCATAGTGTGAGTTAAGCTTCACGAACAAGGATCCTACATTTCCCATAATGCAGGGTTATTTCTTTATACTTTAAAGGTTTTATTATACAACTGTTTCCTCTCTGAGTGTTATCAGCGGTGACAAGGAAGCTGATCTTTATGTGTCAAACCAGTGGGAGCCTCCCTTTTACAAAGTACTCAAGCAACTCACTCTTACATAATCTTTCAAAGTTATTCAGTAACATCTAAGTATTCATTAATCAGTTTTCAGTTTCTGATTTATTCCTTTCTTATTCACTGCAACTATTCAGGAGGTTATGTTACTCCTGAACAATTTCCCCTCTACCTCCTCCCCTTTGGGCCAATATGCAAGGTGAACAAAATGTCCTTTAGGCTCAAATCATCCAGCATCTTACATGTCCTCTGCAGTGGAGGGATCAGTGACGTGCGGGCCAAGAAAAACAGAAAGGGCCCGTTCCCCACTGCTGCTTCAGATGTGCTAATCCATGCTCTTCATCACTTCTGCAAACAGAATTCCACCTTTTTATATGGGACACACAGTTTGTTTTCCTTTGGCCCGGTCTCAGAAGGGACAGAGATGAGGCCCAGAGATGAAGCAATGCTAGCTCAGCATTCATCATGACACCAGAGGGCATTAATGGAGTACAAACACATCGGTTTTTTCTTTAGTTTATTGGATCTTTTAGGAAATACAGATGAAAAATAGAAACTTTTGTTTTCACCTGTTTCCATGGTGGTTTACAAAAACATAAACAGTGACGTTGAAGACACATATTTTGCAATATGAGCTCCAGTTAAACTGCCACTATGTTTGTAATGGTTTAACTTATTCAGCATCTCAGATTTCAGGCCTCTTTAGCAAGCTATACACATGGGATACATTCCTATCCATCAGCAACATTAGATTGGCTTAAGCAGCTGGAAGCACTGAATGGTTTTTCATTGTGGGCTAATTAGTTCAATCAAAAACATATTAAAGACAAAACAGTTATATAAATAAATATATAGAAACACTTAAACATTAAACATGCCACAAGTATTTACACTATCAGTATACTGTATACCAATAGTATACAGTATATAATATATATATATATATATATATCACAATATTAATAGATTTAGTGAAAAGACAAATATATGCAGAATTACACATAAAATAATCAGATGTTAAAGCAATTCATTTCCAGTGTTATACAATATATGAGACCTAATTCTTCATACATGTTAAACAAAAACTTTAACAACCAGTTTGCTCAAAATCATTAATTTAATTATAAATCAAGCCATAAATTTGTACAACAATAAGATAAGATCATCTCAATATGTTGTTGCTAATATTAAATAAACAATATTATTGAATTATCTCCCAGTCCAATCGTGTCATGTTTACAGGCCAAACAAGGTGTTAAGTTACATTAATTTCTACTGCTGATATCAGCAATTGCTTTGTTCCACTTCATTAGTTGTTTCCCAGTCATTTGTCCCAGACAGCCATGTCACTTGAGGAAATGTAACAGGGAGGAGGGAAATGTGCTTTGTAACTTTGCTCTAATCTCTGTATTGTTCCGTTATCGGGTTCTTAGGAAGTCCCTTCAGTTAAAAATGCCCTAGCTCTGTTGCTCCAGCATCATCGTCTAAACCACGGAGCAGGCGGATGGACAGAGGTTGGAGGGATGATGGAGAGGACAGAGGAGCCCTGGTCGTCTAGTCTGGTGCTTATCTGCTCTGTCGGGCCTTTTCCCAGTCCAGCCCTGATAACCCGGGTGGACTTGCAAAATACAGGATATGACCCAATAACCTTGCAAAGCAGCAGGGGCGCAATATTGTTTTATTAGGGGAGGTCTTTTCTGTAAACCTTGATGAATGCAGTCAGGACAGGAGTTGTGACAGTAGCTGTAGTTGAATGTTAGAACCTGCACAATGCAACTAGAATAAAACATCCATCATTATCAACCATTTTCACCATCATTGTATGAACACTGGACAGTTGAAGTGATGAGAGCGAGGCAGTACAGGCAGTTACAGTGCAGTAAGACAACACAGATGACAGGTCAGTGTTTACACTTTCTTTTATTACCCCCCCTCAAATTAATGCACCAGATGTGTATCACATTATTAACTGAGAGCAAAATGCATTTGTCATTTTGCTACGCTTGGAGAGAAGACTCTCTCACCCTCTTCTGTACCAGATGGAGTTTTCTGTGAGAGTCTAGACATGGCACAGATGCAGATCTTACAGGGTGTGTGGTTTGCTGGCCACCCTTGTAGTAGAGGGTGCTGTTGTTTTGCCATTGCTTCACTCCACTGGGCAGTTGCCTCTTCAAAATCCCACTGGAAAATATGGACAGGTCAATATAATGGAGAATTAAAGCCGATGGATTATAATACATCTTATTATAGGATGCTTACATAAGAGTCCTCACACCTTAGTAGCTAATTAATCGTCCCTGTAGCTATTTGCTTATTCTATTATGTGTCTTGGGAGATTCAATTTAAAAATCATTGTTCTATAAAGAAGATTTTAAAACCTCAAGAGGGGTATGTTTTAGGGTGTTGCAGTTTGTTCATACCACCTCAACTATATATATTCTAGCAGTTCTTCATCTTGCATAATAATTTCTGGAGGACAGATATATTTATTACTTTTTCTGAGGCTCTGATCCTTTTAGCCCATTAAGCACTGATTATTTGTAATGTTATACTTTTTTATGACTCATGTTGTGTAAGAGAATTAGCTAAATACCAACAATGCAAAAGGTTTCGACTTGCTCGCACACAGAATAAAGTCCTGACCAGCAGGCATCACACAAGAGACCATAAACATCTCCCAAAATAGCAGAGGGTAACACTGGCCCCCTATAGACAAGTCAACCATTTTGCACTACTTCCTAGGCAGACAGACCCAACCCAGTACTGGTCTTTAATCAAAGATCCTTTACAGCAGAACAATTGGGCCACAAGGCAAATCTCAAACAATTCCACCCCTCACTGTACCCCTCAGCCCCCCCTCACCTCCACCTCAGTCTCACCCCAGCGAAGAACAGTCTCTCAGCAGAAATGTGCAAGAAACACACAGCACAATAGACAATTCAAGCTGCAGTGAACTGCAGTGAACTCTCACCGCTCAGTTTATGCAAGCAGCACACTCCAAAATGTTTTGTGGTTTTATCATGATCAGCGATTATGGTGATGCCATGTAAAGCGGACAAAACTGAAATGTAAATATATCTAAAACTGTTCACCAGTACTGATCTTTTACTTTCTGTCTTCAGTTTGCTTTGAAACATTTGACAGCTGGGTAAACTCTGGGTGTATTGTAGTGGAAAAAGTAAAAACCAAGTGCAAAGTGACAGTGTCAAATCATATGGAAATCATATTCCTATTAAATCACCAAGTAAACAGCGTCTGTTAATTCTAACTAGCAAGTGGAAAAAGTGCCACAGAGGGAGGGATTTATTTATGTATTTAACTGCTGTTGTCTTTGGTTAGAAATACGATAGACAAGAGATTTGTTCAGTAGGCTACTGAGCAACAAAGATCAGCTGTTATTATTAGGAGTTTACAGACTAATCTGAGCTGCCCCAAAAATACTTGGAAATATACTGGAAGCAAAATATTTGGATTCTCCTGTAGTGTTCAAGGCTCCACCAACCAGTGAGAGCTAAAACAAGATTAAGTTGAAGAGGAGGAGTTCACAAAGTCAAATAAAGCTGTATGCTTTACCACATATAATATGTACACACAGGACACATAATACTTTGTTAAAGCCCTTTGAGTTCTCTAACACACTAACTGTGCTAATGGCATTCACGTCATTTGCTTTTTCCTGTTTGGTGAACAGTATCAAGCTGCAATTGTTTGTGCGCACTCCATTTGCCTTTGTTTCTGACTAAATGACATCCTCCATAGCTTGGCGTTCTGCAGCAGCACAGTGAGGGAGTGCCAGGGACTGAAAATAAAAAAAGCTTGTAATTTCGCTCTCAAAGCAGCAACTCAAACTATGCTATTATAAAGTGAATTGTCCTCTAAAACTAGACTACTTTTTGCTATGTAGCCAACATTTAATTGTGGGCACAGTTCTACGCTGCAGATTGGAGCCACATTCCTCTTTACTTAAAATACAAACTCATGCTTCTCACACTTCAATGCACACACACACGGGTCTCTCCATAGAGTTTGACTCATCAATCCTACCAGAATATGCTGACTGCAATCGTCTTACAAGAACTTCTGACAACCGTCTGACTTACTTCCCTCAGAGTCACATGTGAAAAGCACAACCCTCGGTTTGCAGCAGTTCAAACACTGTCCTGAGTGTTACTTCTTCTTATTGGTTCCTCTGAGCGCATTTAATCTCAGGGACAGCTGTACATACAGAGGTATATAGTGTATATAGCACTTTGGGCTGCATGTTTGTATGAAAGGTGCTATATAAATAAAGTGGAGTTGAGTTGAGTAGACATACTTGTGGTAGGTTTGGCTCAAAGATGGACAGAAGAACAAACGGCGCTGTTTCAACCCTTTAAGTAGGGTGGTTATTCATTCAAGTAATTGCAATGCAATTGAGACAAAAGTCTGCCGGTATATCCAAAACAACAATTTCAACTCAACACTCGCCAGATGTGTATTTTTATCATAAAGGCACAGAATCAAATCTAGCTCTGTGAGACGGCGGGGCACCTCAGGGCATCCTACACTCAAACACATTCATACAGTCAAAGCAACAAATCCATTCAGTTAGTCAAATATTCATCAGTCAGTATCAGTCTAGACTTTCACCTCTCCATGAACTTCTGTGCTGTGTTGTGCAGGGGAAATCTGTTCCATAGACCACTATAAAAAGGCAATAAATTGACCAGATTCAAGTCATCACTGCAGTTCACACAAGGTGATATAACGCAGGCTAACAGCGGTCGAACATTCATTCACACTTTTACAGCAGTCATGCACCCATGCACTCATTATGTCAAAATGCTGTCACCACCTAGTGGCACACTATGAGAAGTACACTTCATAGCTTTATTGTTAGATATCACTGTTGAGAGATCACGATTCAGTATCCACGTATCCATGTATATCTGACAGTGGACATTTTAAAACCAGCTGAAATATTACTTCCAGCTTATTACTGGCTAAACTTTCAATCAGAGGGCTTAATGGGATTGTTGATAAACAAATAAGGTGCAGTTGCTGACTACAGTATCAGTGTAAGTATTTTGCATTGAATGTATTAATGATTCATATCTTTTGGATATTTGCTCTGACTGGTTAGCTTATGCAAATAAGACAATGTGAAAATATCATACTGATCCTACTGGTCACCAACATAGCTAAAATTTGGTTTTACTTCAGTAGTCCAACCCACCTCCAGATCGGAGCTGACTAGTGAAGAATCATGGGATGTATCTGAGGAGCAGAATCTGTCGACTCTGGTCACTTGCACATTCCTGTTGAGACGCCGGTCCTTCACCTCCTCCTTGGACAACACCTCCTTAAGGCATATCTTGAAAAAAACAGAAAAAAAACCCAAACCCTATACTTATTAGGAATGACTGCTGGTTCAGGTGAAGAAAATATATCATACTACTATCAAAACATATCATACTTACTTTTCTTGCTGGTTGAACACTGACATCCATATAACGGCCCATCTCAGTCATCTTCTGGCCTTTTTTTGTCTTTGAAATAAAGGTTTAATATTCAAACAAAAAATTGTATTTGCATTAATTTTATGAACAGGACTCAAATCTTGCTGAGGAATGCCTGCATACTGTCTTTTCTTTTATACACATTTAAGCTGAAACATAAATTAATGAGTGTAGAAAGTAGGACAGTAAGTAAAATTCCAATGCCGCCAGATGTTATCAGAAAGTTAGCATTTTATTTACTGAGGCAGTCTAATTAAGATCAAGATCTCTTACTTAACACAAAGAAATGTAAGTGTTAATCTTGTCAATGGAATAGCAAAAAGCAAATATGACCTAAAACATAAATTACTTTTGTTTGTGCTGAAGAATGAACTTGCTGCTTTCTCTGTCTTTCCATGATACCCTTATCCTCAGTGGGGATGCGTGAGCCACCTAAAAGGCTCTCTGTGTCTGCAGAAAAACTGGTAAGCTGCTGTCTGGTTCCTCTTCTGCACCAATGAATGACTAGAATCTGAAAATGTTGTATTAAAGCTTAACAGGTTATATATGGTTGAAAATATGTACAATTCACATGCATTTGAGACATCATTTAAATCTAATCTAACTGCACATTATTTCCCAGAGATTAAACATGTGGGTAGTATTGTGATGTTCTTCTCTTGAATGTTGTATTGATGCCATTTGGGTTTCTATTTTTTGTTGCTTTTTCGCTTTCTGTTCAGTTTATCACTGTTGCTGCTTCTATAAATCTAAAAAAAAAGGAAAAAGCTACCAGAGACTTTAGATCACGGAACAGCTTTCACAGACTGAATCCATACTGTGCTATAAAAGCTACCAGAGAACATTTCCACTTCTGTGGCCAATGCCCTGGTGAAGGGCTCTGGCAGGAGTGTTATTGTTGTATTAGGGGGACTTAAAGCCCTGAGCCTGACAGAGTGAGTTAGATGCAGTCATGCTATGCTATATAAGGATACAAGAAGGTCCAGGGTGACACAGCATATTGTTGACAGCAACCACGGCATGACTTTCAAAAGAAACCCAAGCTGAGTGTCATAGAGGAGTATGGCAGCAGCATAGAGGGCACCCGCCAGTGAGCACAGCAGTCCAGAGAACATGTAGGCCCGGGTCAACATCTGTCCTCTGTACTAAAACGGAAAAAGTAAATATCATTCACTGGGATTTAACACTGGGAGATTCTGACACCAAAACACTTACAGCTCTGCGGAGTGCAGGAAACCTGGAGGTACAGGCGATGACAAAGGAAAGGAGGCCAAGTACGTAACCCAGGATTTCAGTGTTGTCCTGTTAGAATAACAGTTGTAAGTTGTTATACTGTTAGATTCAATACAAAGTAAGGATACTTAGTCTGAATAGACTCAAATGAAAGCATTAATAACCATCAACACTGCAGATATTGATTTAAACATATAAAGTGGTGAGTATTTAAAACTACAGAGCACCACGTTTGCACCGAGGCAGAAGTAAGTGAACACATATTAAGCACAGGTCAATACTGTTCAGTGTGAGTTAAGTGTAGATGTACATACTCAAATTTAATAGTTGCACTGGCAGATTACTTCAGTACATGCCACCTATCACTACCCATGGAATATGATTGTATTTGTCTATTGAACTACAATAAGTCATATCATTTCAGGACTACAACTAGCCACAGTGGTGGTGTGTGCGTACTTGGAGTGTGACGTGCAGCAGTCTCCTCCCACTGAATTGCCCGTCAGCTGGGCGGTGAGTGACCCTGGACTTCAGAAAACCTCCTGCAACCACCATCAGTACACACACTGCGAGAAGGTGCTGCCTCCTCCGCGCCCTCATCATCCTCAGCCTCCTCTCTGAGTAAAAAAACCACACACACAAGAGTTGGAAACAGTTGTAACATGTGCCCTATTCATTTGTTTGGTTATCTGTACAGCCTCTCTGATAAGTCTCCTTACTGTTTTGCCTTAAAAGGTTTTGGCCAGCAGGGTGTGAATACTAACACACCCGTGCTTACCTTCAGGAGGATAGGGGTAAGGTTTGCATTACTGAGATAAGGCATTTTTCTTATCTTACCTGCCTTTGAGTTCCAGCACAGGAGAGGGAAGCAAGCAATAAAATGCACAGCATCCACAGCAGCAGCAACAGCACCTATTAAAACCTACAGTGGAGGGAGCAGAAGTTATTGATGCATGCAAAAAAAAAGATTAAAAAGCACCATGATTCAAACGTACCTGAATATGCAGCTGCCTGGACAGAATGGCTCCAACCGTGCTGCACAGGTTACCGAGGAGGCTGTAGAGGAAGGTGATTGTTTCTCCCGGATTTTGTCTCAGACATTTGCACCCCTGACACAGGAGCCTTGAACAGTTAACGCCGGTTTAGTGTCAGACAACTTTTTAATACATTACCACAACAAATGCTGAATCCAACTTACAGAAAGCATGAGAGCAGTAAGAGCAGCGCGGACAGAAAGCTGAGGCCGATGGGGACGCAAAGTTTGTCTGCGTCATGGGAGAAACAGGTAGAGACCGAATCCACGCAAAATTCAACCAGACTGGACAGGAAAGTGTTGGGATTTCCTCTTGCTGGACCGTCCAGGATAAATGCACGTCCCTCCATATTATCCGTGAATACGTTTACATTTCGTAATACTAGAGAAAAAAAAGCCTTGAGAAGCCTTGCACACACACACACACACACACACACACAGCCGAAACGCAAACTCGCGCGTCAAGCGGACAAGCGCAAAGGAAGGACCTGCATATTTTAGGGAGGAGCTCACCTGTGATACACCTTGGCAAATACTGTGTTTTGGGAAATTGGATACAGAAGTCTCACTTTTGAGGGCCAATTTACAAACTAATGCATCTGTTTTATGATCTAGTGTGTAAGTTGAGCTTTGACAGACATTTGCATCCAATGTTCGGGAGCACGACCGCCTGCCAGGAGCTGCATCCTCCCAGGATGAGGCCCTCAGAGGTGGTCCTGATGAAGGAATTTCTTTTTACTTTTTACACCTAAGGCATGGGTGCAGCGGCGGATCTAGAGAAATATTCATGGTGTGGCATAAATATATGCTGATTTAATAACAAACAATGGCAAATATCAATATTTCCTGGGAAAAGCCCCAACATTAAGACATTGTAACTTAAAAAAAACATTACATTATTGTGGCACATTAGTCTTAAATTAGTAAAAAATAAAAGTAGTCTTTAGACATTTTCCAGTGGTTCCCAACCCGGGGGTCGCAACCCCCACCATCGGTCGCTAAAGCTTCATGGCTGGTCATGAGGCCTTGGTTTTAAGGCGTGTACGAAAACATAAATATACACAGTAGGTCTATATCTCAGCATTTGTTTGACTTTTGTTAAGAAAACTAAATGTACAGTAAATTGTCCAACAGAACAATGTCCAAGCACCAGGGACAAGAAAACACTGAATCTGTCAAAAAAACAGAGAGAAGCCTATTAGGTTTGTACGATAAAAAAAATTGATAATACAAAGAATTGTATAAAAAGTTCCTTAAACAGTTAATATTTCAAAATTCATCCAAATGACTAATTTTACACAAACTTCTCGCAGTTACTGAGTTGACCATTTGGGTTAATTCTACAGCTTTTTATATAATACGAAATATCCATAAAATATCTCACTTACGCAGGGGTTGTCAGTTTACTCAATGATAGAAAAATTGAACATTGCTAAACTCCTAAACTGCAGCAAATTAAGCTTTAAATAAATTAACTGTATGAAGATGTGATTTGAACATCATCAACAACATTTGCAAATAAACATACATATAATCCCCCACTGCACTGTGTAGCTGTGTAACCTTGTGGAGTGAAAAAGTGAAACACCAACATGAAAACATTCAATTTATTTCATAATTCATCTTAGTTACATTAACCACAACTGTATATGGAAAATACAGTCTTTTATCTAGTGAATAAAGACTTGAATGAATCTATTGAAACGGCTTTAAAATACAAATGTAATATGTTTTTTTCCAATGTCTTTATAACATTCACACCTTCTGGATGTCGAGTCCATTTCCAAACACCGTGGTGAGACCTGGTGTACAACTGGTGATCCAGTTGATGGAATGCATTGCACCAATATGATCTTCTAACCAGCGCAGCACATGAAATGATTTTGCACCTCATTTGTTAGTATCAAGACAGTCTGACCTTTCCATAATCACAGGATTAAGGGGCCTGAATCTACCTACAGATACTGCTCAGCATCAACTCCTTTGGAATCACATGTGAACTGTATGTTTCCATTTCTGCTGAACTGATCTGTAATTAAACGCGCTTTGATTTCAGATCATCCTTCAGGCATCCAGGTGCTTGGTAAGACGGCGTACTTTCTCTTTCTTGTTCCTGTTCCCGTGTTTTTTCCAGGGTTTTCCCACCACCGCCTCTGATCCAGCTTGTCCAGGGCCGACAGGTCCACTACCTGGTTTGTAGCCCATGTAGGACTGAACCCCTTTGGTGAGCGCTCGCACATTCTCCTGAAGATAGAGACACCATCAATACTCATTTATTTCACAATAAACAATTACTCATATTGTGGATTTAAACAGGTAACTACTATGCAGGCATTTTCCTACGAATAAGAAGACAGTAGATGTATTATACCTGATGGAAGAAGTTCTTGTCAACCACATTTTCAATTCTCCTGATTTTCTGTTTGTTTGTTGTTGCCGAGAGATCGCAGCAGTCAGAGTCTCTATTCAGGAACTTGTTGTGCTGCGGCTGGAAGTCTTCAGCATTAATATGTGGCGGAGGATGGCAGTACAGAAGCTTGCCCTGTAAGGAGTCAACATTGTTAGAAGTGAAAGTATGTTCTACTCAGGATTCAAATATTTTAAGTTAATGTATGGATGTTACCAAAAAAAAAGTCAAAATTTCCAATAACAGCCAGTCTGCTATGCAGCTATGCTAGGTAAATATAAAGCAGGTGCCATACTTGTGGTATTTTGTTTATTTATTTAGTCAGAGAGAGGTGTTGCATGTTGACATTAAAGAGACTCAGTCTCAGCCCCCCTTCAACCTTACCTTCCTACTCTACATAAGTTGTCAAAACCAACAATAAAATGTACTAGGAACTGTAGTTTTTTTAATTCTGACTCTGGGTCTGGTACTTACGTTGACATAATCCTTCAGGATGTACCGGGCTGATCTGGACTGATCAGGTTGGCCATGTGTCGTCATAAAGCCTCTCATGTCTGAAATAGAGGGAAACAATAATATACTTTATACAGCTCTGCTATAAAGTTAGAGTTTATATAATGCTTTAAAAAAAAAGTAAAAACGTAGTTAAACAAACAGACAAAAATAACACATTCAAGAGAAACTAAGTTGATAGAAAAACAAACATGGAGGGGGCAAATCCTACTTTCATTTCATTAACTCATATAAGATCAGCTAGATGAATAACTCCCACAGCTAATCTCCATACAGAGTTGCATGGTGGCGAGTACAGTATGTAGTTTTTTGGCCCATTTGTTATTCTCTAACAAAACATCTCAAAAGAAACATTATAAAAGTCAGGTAGTCTCACAGCCATAAGCCATCAGCATCTCCTCAGAGGTGGGGTGCCTGTCAGGGTCGTCGTCTTCTCGTGGTCGGATGATGTTGATGCCATATGTGCCTTCTAACACATGCCGAGGGATCGTCTGACATATGTGACAAATCTGTTAAGGACCTAACTACGAGTAGAATCCACGAAATTCTTAACATCGGAGGGACTGTGAGCTTCATGATTCCAACTAACATTTTAAACATCAACATATCATTGTAAAATGTTTGGGGGTTATTTGAGTTCATTACTGTAAACAAATGACCCCACAATTGATACTGAGGTCATAGTGACAGAAAAGATTGGGTGGTTAAGTTTAGTTAGGGTTTTTTGAAGTGGGGTTGTATGAGGTACTTATCCGTAGTCAGTGTATTACCTGCAGAAGATGGAGGTCAGCGTGCCCCCAGTTTGGAGTAACAGACAGGAGCTCGACAGAGAAGCAGAGCAATGCACTGACCAAAATCAAAAATATCCTTTTAAAAGGTTATACATGTGAAATTCACTTGCCACTGGACGTTGCACTAGAGCACCAGAATCTCAGACGAAAAAAAAACAGGTCAGATACGAAATACAACTCACTGCAACTGTCTTCATTAGTCTTTATCACCAACACTGGTTTGGTCAAAATAAACTCTTAATTCACAGAGTTAGAGGTGAAAATATTCCTGAAAAGGACTGCAATGGCTGCAAAGTAAGCTAACGTCAATATCAAAGTGCATCCACTGAAAGTGCTTGTTTTTGCAGCTAACAGGCTCAGATTGTTATTCTAAGTGTCTGACAACATTATGGAAATGATCCCAAAAGAGATATTTCTTTTGCTTAACCAGAAACAGCAGTAATATCACAATCGCTTACCACCAGACTCCATAGACTAAAAAGGTAATTTTACATCGGATATCATTGTATAGTATATAGAAAAGTCTTTCCACTGTTCCAACAATCACAAAATAAGTCCTTAATTCACCGACATAGATGAGAAAAATAGCAGTTTCAGTCGCTCACCCTGAGAGACTCACACAGAGTAACATGCACACACCAGACAGGATGGATTTGGTGTGATTTAGTGGTCATCAATCAGCTGTGTCAAAAAGCATGTAAAGGATATCAGGGAGACTGCAGGTACGTGATCTCTCATCTGGTCAATGGGCAGGATCCCAGAGCAGATCATCTCAGCTTTGGTAGAAACAAAGGAGGGCATGACCAGACCGGGGCAGTCACAGAGGCACAGGCCCGGTTCCACAAACAGAGTCTGTGATACACGTGAAGAAAAGGCAACAGAACAATTACACCTTAAGCTTTCTATTGATTGAACAAATGACTGGAATTCACACTGAAAGGTTTAAGAGTATTCCTGTACCTGAAAGTGCTTAGTGTGTCCAGGAGTGGCTGAAACGGACACCTTTTTGTTCCTCAGAATAGTGTTGATCGTGGAACTCTTTCCCACATTCGGATAACCAACCTGTTGAATTCATACAAAATGAAATATTTAATTGCTTAACAACTACTCGAAACAATTTATAGTGCTTGTGGAAAGCCCATTTGACCCTTAAGTTTTCTAACATTTTTCCGTTTGAAAATAGCAAACACAGTAACTTTTCCACATAAGGAACAAGGCAAAGAACATTCCTGGTGAAGCTTGCAATGGATTACAGCATTCTTACTCTACACAGTACATGCTAAGCGCAAATGAACAAGTAAATCAGGAAACTCTCTTTTGCAGCAGATCATTTAGCGTAAAACTTTTTACCCACCAGTCCAACTGTCAGCTGTCCTTCTTTACATCTGGGCCCGTTGTGAACAGCTTTAAACACGTCCAGCAGCTCATCCATATGCAGCAGTCGGCTGGAGTTGTGGAAGGAGGATTCGCCGGATGAACCGGCTTCCTCTCCTTCACCCTCATCTTCTGAGCAGGTGTGCCAGTCCTCTTCTTTTACAGTAATCTTTTCCCGCTGCTCTTCCTCTGTGCCACTCTCTTCATCCTCCTCTTCTGCCTCCTCCTCCTCTCCATCTGCCCCCTTTTGGGTCACGTCTTCATTGTCTGGCTGTCCTTCTTCTTCTGGGTCACTCTCTACACACTCCGCATCGTCCACTTCCATGCCCTGTGAGAGATGAAGTTTCACTTTGGTACAGGGTTTAAAGGCAACAGTAAGTCTAAAGAGACATTTCACATGATTCTCCAAAACAATCTGAAATTGGAAACTGATAACGTTCACTTCCCCATGTAAATACATTTATTAAAAGGTCTAGTGTGTAGGATTTTAACACATAAATGCCGGGTTCAGAGAACAGCTTCTCAATCATCCTCACCTTTTCCTCTGCATCCAGTCTGTCGCTCTCAGCCAGGGCAGACCAGAAAACTGCCCTCAGTCCGTCTTTCTGGAAGTGTCTGGCCCAGGCTCGCCTCTGCTCCCTGGTTAGCAGATCTGCCTTGTTCACCAGCAGCATGTTCACCTTATGCTCTGATACTTCCTTTACGTAGGACTCCTGGCAGCACGCAACAGAAAAATCATACAGAATAAAACAGAAGTGCAATGTTCAGCTCACCTTTATACAATACTTCTGCTGGCAGTTTAATTCTTTCATTTAATTTGATTATTTTACTTGTTTAGAATGTAACTACAAAGCAAGTAAGTACAAATGTTAGACAGATCTTTGAGGAAAAAACTCACAGATGAAAGACAACAGGACAAAGGAAATCAAAACTGTAAAACCTGTTACAATATGTATGTGTACCCTTACGCAGGGATCGTACTGATTGTACCCTTCAGCATCCCTTTCCCACTAAAGCAACTTTGCCCAATGTACTTACCAGGTCAGGACATCTGAACAGTAAAGGATTCCTGGCGTCAACAATCTGAACGACGACATCACTACAAGAAAAAACGAAAACAGTTTTGCCTTTAAGTATTGCATGAAGAGAACACATTTCTCATCAAAGACAGGCGTGAGCTGACAGCCGTATACAGCTTTAGTTTTTTTACCTCCGCTCAATCACTCTCCACAGCTGTCTCCAGAACTCCAGGTTCCTCTCAAATGGAGTGAGAATTAACTTCTGCTCCTCTTCTAACCTTTAGAGGTAACACATGCTGTTATATAGCTGATATTGAAAATCCTAAACTGATTTAACCTTATATTACAAATGCTGTTAGACTCTTTTTTTTTATTACACACTCTGCAAGCTCTCGTCTCCAGTGTAAGAAGCTGTCTTTCTCTGCTTGCTGAAGTGCCTCTGGACTCGTGCTTTCATCCCAGTGGGGGCTTAAAATTAAAAGAGACATATGATAAAGATTAAAATGGCGAAACATCAGTACAACAATTTCATAAAATTAACTAGATTTAGTCTACTTACCGACGAGGAATTCTGAGGAAATGCTTGTTTTCTTCATGCAGCTTTGCCAGCCTGATTCTTTCCTCAGCTGTTATCAAGCCTGCTCTAGCTTCCGCTGGCACAAACTTGATGTTGAGTTTCTCTAAGAAAACAAAGAAAGAAAACAGTCAGAGACAGCAATGGAATCAAAAGACAAAGTTTGCATAACACAACATAACTTAAGATGAGATACATTCAAGCAACCTCAAGGATGCTGCAGAAATTCTAAGTTACAGAGTGGAAACCCAGTGGAGTCGCATTCAACACAACAGGTACAACCCAGCAGCAACAGATAACTACCCTATCAGTTTGATATGATGTTTACATATGACAGCCGTGTCAAACATATTGGGATATGGATACACCTCAATGTGCTTGGGAAGTTAAAAACATTGATGATCTTTGGCCACAACATCGAGCAGAACATAAAACTTAAGCACCATACACAAGTTAAGAGAGGTTTTACTTACCCGCAACAAACTCTGTTCCCGCTAATTCTGCAGTGGCCAGAAAGTCATCCATTGAACTCTGTTCTGTCACTGACTGCAGGTTCAGGCGTCCCCAGTCATAGCCATCATTCAGCTCACTGGTGTGGAGCTGCAAATGTAAGGAAAGGTTCAAACAAGGCCTGAATGAATAACAGGCTACAATAGTCTAGGGTTACAGTGAGTGCTACAGAAAAAAACACACTTATTGTCATGAGGAAACTCTGTTGTGATCTGCCAAAATATCTCTCATAAGTAATAGGAAAAGTACAGTAGCTATGAACCAATTCTAATCATTTTGGATTGTGTTGCAAAACAAATGCTCCAATATACTTCATCTCTATGCCGAATTTACCACGGGAACCTAGTCATTAAAATGGGTATTCATTCATGTACTTCACCTAACTGATATGAAAAGCAGCGATAAAAATTACACTTTCTTAAGGGAGTTTGGCGCAAGCTAACAAACGACACTTTTCAGAAAAGTGACAGCTCTGCCAAAACCCTGCACATAGTGAAATAGTTGAGTGGCAGTTCAAACGGGGCCACACATTAACTTGAATTTGATAATACACCATTAACAGCAAGACAACTATCCTCTACGATGTGTTAAAGCATGTTTAATATAAGCTAGTTGTTGCTATGTGTCATACCCATGAGTCGCCCCTCTTGTTTCCTCGGCCGGCCTGCAGTCTCTCCTTTATCAGAGATCTGCCCAGTCCTCCGCCGCCCCCACCCGCCTTCTTCTTCCCCATACTATCGTCTTCTTGTCGTCAGTTTATACTAAACACAGTAATATATTAGAGCTAAAGAGTTGTAAAAACGAGCTCCGCCTCAGCTACAGTGCCCCATGTGCACTAGGTTGTTGTCGTAGAAACCGGAAATGGGACAAACCAATAGAGTTTTTATATCCAGAAGAATTTATCTCAACTACTTGGAGATGTTTAATTTAAGTAGGTGTGAATTCACATATAAGTTCTGAATAATTAATCCCCTTAAAAATCTCCTTATTATATCTCCTTTATTGTAAGTATCTGTAGTGATGTAGCTGTGGTACAGTCCACTTGTCTGTCCTGCTATCAAAGGTGCCCTGAAGAAAATGGGACTTTACTAATGTTCGTTCCTCATGGCTACCCTCATTTAGTTTTACAGCCAAATAAATATAAATACAGTCTTTATGTATGTACTTTTAAAATAGGTTTTAATTCTCAGATTATAAAAGTTAGCATTGCGCAAAGAAACAAGTAAATCCTCTTCTATTATTACATACAAACTCCGACAAACGCACTTCTGATGTGAACCAAAAGATGGCAGCATGAAACAGCACTACCAGAATGAATCTCCAGCCTCACTGACACATAGGCAGCACCAAACTGATGAACTGACCGACATAGGAAATATTCATCTAAGAAGAGAACAATCTGCAAATTCAAAGTTAGATTTTTAGTGAACATATTAAAGAGAAATGTATTTATCTTAAGTCTGGCATTAAAAGATGTGAGTGATAATGTCAACACATTTAAATCCATGGTAGACTAATCTAATTATGCGTAAGACATTAAAATTAGGGGGAAAAAATGTATATAGTGTAAATATATAGGAGCTTAGTTACTTTGCACTCAGTAGTGATTTAGTTTTAGTTGTATTTATTGTTTTAAATCTATATTTCATATGTTTTAATCTCTTGTAAAATCACTGTAACAGTCCAATAAAGATCTAGAGAGTTTTTGATATAGTAATCTATATGTGTATATTTGACATTTCCAATGTAGTAATAGCCCATAGAAATTTACATTTACACATTTATGATATTCCCAGTTAGTTATTAACATAATATTAATAGGTTTATGCTACTACATGTCATTGTGTAATTGTTGCATTCAGTTATCAAACCAATGTTTCTCCCTTCAACTTCTTTATTTATTTTGAAATCATTAATATTGACTGTATACAAAACTATGCCACAGCCATTTGGAAACAGCAGGCAACCGTGAGAGTTTTGTTTTGTATCAATGAAAACAGTCAACACGAACCAACAGGTCTAGTATCACTTGGTTCAGTCCTCCTTCCCCCCTACAGTCGCACTCAGATGGTTTCTCCCACTATATAATCCATGAAGCTCGCCTCTCCACAGTAGACTGTATTCAGCCCTACACCGAGAGAAGACCGGGGACACTACAATGGACAAGAGCACTTTAGAGGATGAACAGATGAAGTACGATGTCTTTGCGTTCACTTCTCATAGAGTAGCTCACAAATGACCTGACAGGCCAATAGACACTCCTAGGACATAGTAGTAATACAAAGTTTATTTCTTTTCTTTCTCTCTCAGTAGACTTTGTTGCTGTTGACTGCAAACAGCCCTTAAAATGCTGCCTTGGAAGAAGAATAAGTTCGACCTGATTGAGGAAGACAAGCAGTCCAAGCAGAAGGGCTATGCAGTGAGTCTCAACTACTCTGCGCTCACCTCCTTCGCCAAGTCCTGCCCCGAGAGCGCACTCAACCGGGTGGGCAGCATGTTCAAGTCAAAGAGGAAAAAGGTGAAAATCACCAGCGAGGACCCCACGTACACGGTGCTCTACCTGGGGAATGCCACCACCATCCAGTCCAAAGGGGACGGCTGCACGGACGTGGCGGTGAGCAAGATCTGGGGCAAAAGCGAAATGGGCAAGAACGGCACCAAAATGAGGCTGACCATCAGCTCGCAGGGCATCCGGATGGTGCATGTGGACGACAAGGCCAGGAGGCCGGGACACTTGTACTTGCTGCACCGGATAACCTACTGCGTCGCGGACCCGAGACTACCCAAGATTTTCGCCTGGATATACAGGCACGAGATGAAGCACAAGGCGGTGATGCTGCGCTGCCACGCAGTGCTGGTGTCCAAGCCGGAGAAGGCAAAAGCCATGGCGCTGCTGCTGTACCAGACCTCAGCCACAGCCCTGGCTGAGTTCAAAAGACTAAAACGGAGGGACGATGCCAGGCACCAGCAGCAGCAGCTCATAGGGGAACAAACCATCCCGTTGGTCCCCCTCAGGAAGCTGCTGAACGGACAGTGTTACTACAAACCCCCGGTGGAGCGCAGCCGGAGCGCGCCCAAGCTGGGCTCTATCACAGAGGACTTGGTTGGGGAGGAGGAGGAGGAGAAGGCGATGCACTTTGAGTGTGAGGACATTCTGGACACGGACGATGATTGTGTGACCAACGGCAAACAGGAGTTGACTCAGATTATTAATGACTTGGGAGAGATGAGCATAGGAAACGACGTGCAGACTCTGAAAGCTGATCTCAGAGTTACCAGACTTCTCTCTGGAGAGAGCACGGGCAGTGAGTCCTCCATAGAGAGCAACCAGGAGCCCCCTCTGCTCACTAATGGGTTTGAAGAGGTAAAGGTGCAGGAAATTGCCTGAATAAATGTAGGCATTTCTGGGCGTCTCTGACGCATTGTTTTGTTGTCTCCACAAGAAACATTTCCTTTGTCGTCAACCTTGTGTTGGAGAGTTTTGTCTAATCGGTGCCTCCATGACTAAATGAGATGACCCAGAAAAAAAAATCCCTCTAAGGTTTTGGGACAATAACCACACAATTAGGCTACTGAATTATATTTTAAGATTGTGAAAAAAGACACACAAAAAAAACTATGGGAAAACAAATGCATGTCCATCTGAGAGATGACTGGTTGGACCGAGGAACCCCCCCGGACGCACGGCACTAATTCCGTCTCTTTTATTTAAGAGGATTTGTTGTAGCCTCAAGCTTGTTTACCTTAAGTTTTTCTCTCTTGAAAAACCAAGCTCCAAAAAAACATTCCGCACGTTTTTTGTTTGTTTTTGTTTTTCCTACATGGGTCAGTGGGTCTAAACAGGCAATCCTTAATTTTCCTGTCAGGGCGCTTTTGTAACAGCCTGTTCATTTATTTTATTTTGCACTGTTGTAGAGTTAATTCAAGTATTATGTTGACTACATGTACATAATGTTTGTTGGTATGTTGTCTGAAACATAAATGTCATATCTTTGCTGTGCAAAAGAAAAAAACACCTTTTATGTATTAAGATGTAAAGTAAAGATGTTTTAAGTATAAATATGTTATTTTTTAAAGAATACAAATGTGGTTTGTTATGTGAACCTCATAGAATTATCAATAAAAAAGAAAATCATACAAAGTTGTTGAACTTTATGTGTAGATTTGTGTTGGAAACAAGTAGGACATGTTTTCCTCTGCTGCTTTTTTTTAAATGTGAGTGGGGATTTACCTTCAGGGTCTCCAATTGAGGTCAGATATGCCCTGCTGACTAAAAGTCACATGGAGACGGGAAACAAGAGAAAGACACAACATTTCTCACCTCCATCATAAAGTTACCACCGTGTTATTGTATGAACGTATTTCAGTCAATAGCCTTGGCTGGATCTGTACCCACTTTTTCTTTTTGGTCAGATTGCTTTAAGGAGCACAGGCTGTAGAAGTTATTGAGTTAAGGTACTGAAGGCCCATTCATTCTGACTGGCCTCAGGGAAGCCAGGCCACACAGGAGGACGTCACCACAAGCAGTTAGAGCATCACATGGGTCCTTTAATGACAAGGCAGCAAAAAGCACCAGAGGTCTTTTAACACCATACTGACTGTTTTTTATTTCCGATTACGTCTGCCCTCCTTTGGTGAGACATAAGAGAGAATCTCTTAAAGGTCAAAGCAAGTACTGTAAATGTGTAACTTTCTATATATATATATATATATATATACTACATGTATAGAATCCAGCACCTACATTTCATTCACATTTTCACACACTGAAATCAGAACAGCTACATCAGTGGTGTCATGCGTCAGTTTGACTTTGGGAAAGTTTATAATAATTTTAATAAACGGAAGTGACAATGATAGAAGATTAGAGTACTTCCTTTTATTAAACGTGAGTACATGATATCTAATATAGGCAAAAACACAGACTCATCTCTCATGCCAGCACGTGACCTGCAGTCAGAGATGGATGTAACTTAGCAGCAGTGACACCACTTCTGCCACTGTCACTGTAACTTCCTTGTCACACACACAGCAACAGGCCTACGCACATTGCGACGCAGTTCTCGTCATTTGGCCGAAGCAGATGTAACACTATCAACCACAACGCGCAGATATTGATGTACTGACAATGTAACATAAGCCATTAGCTTTTTGCCTCTGCCTCCCGAGGCCGGAACCCCGAAAGGCCGCAGCATGCAGGGATGCTCCTCCTGAGCTGGGCGTATTTTCACCGTAACGCCGGTGATGCTGCACGCTAACAGGGCTGAATATGACATGCAGGAGGTAGAAAACAGACCTGCTGATACCCAGAGGAGGTGTATATGGGGATTGTTATCTGGGCAGACTCTGTTTCAGCAGCTGACACAATCCCATTGGCCATGCTGAGGTATTCACTGAGAACAAAAAACACTCCCACCATGGATTTAGAATGAGGTCCAGAGACAGAGGGTTAATGTATTTCAGCCAGCAGTTGGTGAGTCCTATAAAAAGCTTCACAGCGGCTCATTATGAATTGATGTGCTTTCAGGAGGCACACACACACACACACACACACACACACACACACACACACACACACACACACACACACACACACACACACACTCCATGCAGGCTGTTGTTGCTATGTTTGTGGCTTGTCAAATGGTAATCGTGCGTGTGAGTTGAAATGGCAACAGAGCGCAGACACTCACATCAGTTAGTTTTTCTTCCTCATGTGGTGCGATACCCCGTCTACCGCTGCACCCTCACTGAATGACATCATCAACGTGTGCCAAGCTTAATGTAATTAGTGGACAACCAGTGCTCTTACCACATAAACATAAAGACAGAGCATGAGCATGGCATTTGTCCTTCCTTCCTGCTTTCTGCAGCTGCTGAGCCGTTTATCGTTGGACTTTTTCTTCCTGACCTACATTCTCATACGGCTTCTCTTGTGTCCCACCTCTGCAAAAGCGGCCATGGTCTCGCAATCTTCCAAGGTTACCTAGATATCGGCCACACGTGCAGCAAGTCCACTCACACAATTAGAGATTTGAAAGTGTTTGCTGTCAACAAGTGGTTGTAGGGAACTTTTCAAGCTGCCAAGGGAGAAAGTGGAGTTCCTGGCTGATAAGAGAGAATAAAAGAAGCTCTTTTATAATCACACGTCACTTTCGCTTTTCCCTTGAACAAATACTCAGGTGCTTGCTTTACCTACTGTCTGGCATCTGTGAGTCAAAGGAAAAAGGTTACACATTCAACATGAACATCAGTCACAGAAGCCAAGTGTGTTGTTGTTGGTTCTCTTATGCTGTAAACATATTTTCCAGGAATTGAAAGAAGAATTCTTATTTTTCAGTGAGAGCTGAACCTGAATTATTGATTTTATAGATTGTATGTATCTTTTGTTTTAGGACTTTAAAGGTTCTGATTCATAATAACAGTGTGAATAAAAAAATAATAAAAACAACAAAACTGCTGTTTAAGGCGGTGGCAAACGATCATTATGTAATTGCATAAACTGCTGATTAATGTTCTATAAAATAATGGAAAATAGCAAGAGATGCTCATCACAATTTTCCAAAGCCTAAGGTGATGTCTTCAATTTGCTTGTTTTGTCCAAAAAAGAGTCTAAAACCCAAAAAACCTCTGTTAACGATCACATAAGGCAAAGAAAAGCACCAAATTTTGATTACTGTTGGAACCAGGAAATGTTTGAAATTTTTGCTTTGAAAAGGACGTAAACGATGAACTGATCACCACAATAGTTGCAGTACTAACTGATTGATGGACAGCCCTACTGCTGTTAGCTATCCTGTGACAGCAACAACTTGCTTTTTACCAAATATACTATATGACTCACACAAAATAAACTTTTTCAAATACCAGTCCTGCATTCAAGATGTTACTTAAATCAACATTATATAACTTTTCTACCTTAAAATAATAATATATTCAAAGTAATTTTGATACTACACTGAGTTGTAACAAGTTGAATGGTACCTCTGTCATTCCCACTCTGTTCTTGCACTGTAACTTCTGGCTCTGGGTCGCTACAAGTGCATAACACTTTATAGCATTAAGTCACACAGAGGTCAAAGTCAGGTCACTGACTTTGGGGAAACTGGAGAATTTTTTTTTATGGTTTATTCTCTCTGATGTCCTCAGTCTGCTCCGCCTTAACTCTGCAATGCAATGAAATAAAAAATGTAGAGAAGTAGAAATAAAAAGTAACAAAAATCAGAATTCTCAAGTAAAGCACAAGTAACTCAAGCAACTTAAAACTTACAGTACTTGAGCTTTCTACCGCTGCATATAAGCATACCGCAGGGTTCAATGCACATTAAGTACTTTCTGGGTACTGGCCACTCTCAGCAGTGCAATCATCAAAATCAATCCCACTATAATGCACGAGAGAATTGCTCTAATCACAATTTTAAGTACACTTAGCCATCCTTAAACTAACAATAAATGAATCTGGCGGTAGCTGCCTGGTCTGACACTGAAGCAGAAGAGTTTCCTAATTATCTGCTAGTGGAACGCCGCCGTGGGCCATCGCTGTACCAGATCATCACTGGTGCCAGGCAGACACACTGCTTCACTTTGAACCAGGCTAGAAAATCTGTTCGTCTATTATGCATGAGGATAACAGGGAAAGCACCAGAGCTGTTAGTTACTGGGCCTGGATCTGATTACACCAACAGCACTAAGATGTTAGAGGGGTTGAATCAGAGCACAGAGGGCTGGCGACCTTCTCTTGGCTATGGAAACCTATAAACAAATGTCTAGGAATAGACTCTAGCATGTCCCAGCATGCCCTCGAATCATAATTAGATGCTTTACGTAGACAGTACCTCAACTTGGGGCAGGTGAGGAGGAGATGGATGCGACACTACTATTTGTAACATGAAGGTGTGTAATTAACAAGCTCTTCCAATACAGAAACCGCTGCTGAGGATCATTTCTACACACAACATAGAATTAGAGGTGCAGCAGACCTTGAAGGCAAAGTTGTGATGAACTTTTTTGAGAGGACGTTGTATTTTGATCCTTCACAGGCAGACAGTGTCAGACAGTGTCAGAGCCCACCTATGACTTTACCAGGACGCTGTGAATGTGAGAAAGAGACTGACAGACAGTGAGAGACAGAAAGAGAGAAAAATGCCACCAGTCTCAACTCTCATTAGTTTGAATCTGACAGCTGTCCTCCAGGAGTTGTGTATGTATGTGTGTGTGTGTGTGTGTGTGTGTGTGTGTATGTGTGTAGGTACAGGTCATTTTTTCACGCTCAACTTTCATGTGGTGCGTCCTCTAAGGTGCTGCCTCCAGCTGATGTGGAGGACAGATACATCAACGGGCAAAGACAGAAATGCTTTAATAAATTATTGAGAAAGTGCATCCATTAAAAGCGACTGTGTCTGCAAAACATTCAGATAGATGTCAGTGATTTTATGTGCTGGTGGCTGGCGAGTTGGGTTATGTAATCCAAAATAAACCTGAAAAAATAAATCCATAGGGAAAACAAGACTCACAGCCATGCTAGAAGAACTTTGTGGCTGTGCTAAATGCTAACATGCTCACAGTGACAATGCTAATGGTGATGCTTAACAGGTTGTGTGTACCATGTTAACCAAGTTGGTTCAGTGTGTTATCATTTGCTAGTTAGCACTAAACCCAATGTAAAACTGAAGTAAGGTGACTATATTTTCAAATATAATAAATATTGCCCCCCTTTAGCGCTTAGCACAACTACCAGGTGTACCTTTCAACACCATGGACACTAAAAATGAAGCAACTTCATTGCTGGGTACTTTACAAAGAGGTAAGTCTCCTGGAGCTCTTTAGTAAAGACAGACTTTATTCAAGTAAAAATGAAAAAGTACTCTCTTGGTTTCTCTAAAGGACATTTTTCAGTTCAAAGCTAACTGAAACTTCAAAGAGGGTCGAGTCTTTTGTCCTTTTCGCCAATCTCTGTCATTCATGATATGTACTGTTCTTGATGTTTGGAAGGCAATAAAGCAAAAACAAATTATAATCGATTTGTTTTGAAGATGTTAGGTCATAAAAATGATGTCGCTATAAAATAATCACAATGTCAGCAAAGTTATTAGAATTTATCCAAAGAAAGACATGGCCGTCTGAATGTCTTTGCAACGTATC